TTATAATAAAGTTAATATTATAAAAGATAACTAGATTCCTAATAATCTCTTTATATAGCTTTAATTTAATTATATATATAAAGAATTAGTTCTAGATAAGATCTTTAGTAGTTACTTAACTTATAATAGATATTTATATAGTATTCTTCTAGTTACTAGAGAAATTTATAATACTTTAATTCTACTTTTACTATAGGTTTTAGAGTTTACTAGAGGTAATTAACCCTTTATTATAGTCCCCCTTATATTATTAATATAAGAAGTTAAATAGTTTAGTTAAGGTCTATAGTTCTAAATTATAGCGCCCTAGCTATTTTATTTTTATATTATTCTAGAGTTAATCTTTAGTATATTATACCCTACCCTCTTCTTCCTAGAAAGAGGATAGTTTAGCTTCTATATAGGCTAGAAGATTATATTTCTAGAGGTAAAGCTTCTTTATAGATTTACCTATATAAAATTTAGGCTCTAAATATTTAATAGCCTCTATTAATAAATATTATTTAGTAGTATATAGTATTTATTATAGTACTTTATTATTTATAAGAGCTAGCTAAAGTATAGTATCTTAATACTTTTAATTAGTTATAAGTCTAAGAGAAGTTAGTAGGTTATTAAGTAGATCTCTAAAAAATTCTTAAGTTAATTATTCCCTTATTTAATTTATTAAGATATTAGAAGGTACTTTAGGCCCCTCTATAGTATAGATTAGTTTATTTATATTAATATCTAGTTAATTAGTTATAGACACCTTAGTATTAGAGGTTACTTAAGAATAGTTAAATATTCTTAATAATTAATTTAAGATTCTTAAGATAATGGCTTATTATTAATATATTATTTATTCTAAGTTATTTCTAAGTATAGGTCCCTTATAGCCCTAGGATTCTTATATTAAATTAAGGTTGCTTTAATTTAATATATAGGGGAAATACTTTAAATTATTAATAATAACCTTATACTACTAGGGTTAAATAGGTAAGATATTAGTATAACTAGGTAATAGTAAGGTTTAAGGATATAAGAAGATTATAGTAAGTCTAATAAAAGAATAAGATAAAGTACTTAAGGTTCTATTCTATCTAGGGGGGATAGTATATATCCTAACTTTAAATAAGGTACTTAATAGGTGCCTAACTAATGCCCAATGTCGACTAACAGTTACATAGTGTGCTTAGTTAGATGGCTTATAGGGCGGCGTCGGTGCCGGCCTTACAATTAACTAAAGTAGCCTATAAAGGGATTATTATAATACTTTATAAATATCTTTAAATATAGCCCTTAATATTCTAGTATATAAATATATCCTTTATAATTAAGTAGGCCCTTCTTTATAGCCTATTTAATTAACTCCTTAAGTTTTAAAAACCTTATAAACTCTTTATTCTCTAGCTCTTTTAATCTATCCTAAAATACCTAAGTCTACTAGTAGGCTAGTAAGTCTATTATAAGTAGTTAAAATAAGTAAGCTAGTAACTCTATAAAAAGATTAACTTAATAAGGGCCCTTTATAATAAAAAGTCTTATTAAGGCTATTTATTTAATAAGGGCCTTTATAATTCTTATAGTACCTTTAGCTAAAATTATTATAATTCTAGTCTTCTTTATATTAAGGCTATCTTATTATAGAATTTTATAAAATAAGTTTATCTCCTCTATAATAATATTTTTTTTTAATATTTTTTTATAATAGTCTACCCTTTATAAAGGGTTATCTATAAGATTTAGCTTATCCTTATAATATATAATCTTAAATTAATATATAATTAACTTTTATAATTAATATATTTAATATTATAAAAGCTTCTTATAGGTTATAAAGTATTTAAGGCTATTATAATCTATAATTATTTTTATTAAATATAATAACTCTTTTAAGAAGTGCTGCTATTTATAAAAAGACTTAATTATTATAAGTAATTCTTAATTATAAATTTTATAATTCTACTCTATAAAGGTTATTTTTTATAAGTAAAAGGCCACTAGGTGCTATTACCTCTTTAAGTCTTTTTATAAGAATACTCTATAGATTATAAAGCCTAATATATCTATTTTTAATTATAACTATTTATTTTAATAGAAATAGTAAAGTAAAACTATATTTATAAAGGCTTTCTTTAAATTTATAAAAGCCTTTTATATATTCTATAATAGTAGTGTGCTAGGGGCCTAGGCCCCTTTTTTTAATATATTTAATATTAATATTATAATATTTAAAAATATATAAATAAATTATTAATAAAAGTTTATAAATCTAATAAACTCTTAAATATACTTTATAATATATAGCTCTAGTTATAATTAAATTACTATTATATAAGAAATATTTATCTTTACCTCTATAGTAGAGATAATATATCTTAAGAAGGATATATTTAATATATAAAATTAATACTTTAAAAGCTTTAAATATAAACTAGCTTTATAAAGACTTCTTAATATTATATATATATATATATAGTATACTCCTCTTTACTTTATAAATAAACTATAATATTATTAAGGTAGACTATTATAAAGATATTTAAATAGATTTATAAGATATAATTAATAAAGGCTTAAAAACTTATAAAAGTATTAATAAGCCTAAAAGATATTATTAAATACTTAAAGAGGCTAAATTTAATATAGAAAACTATCTTTTACTTATATCCTTTTATAATATATATTTAATAGTAAATATTATAAATATTAAACTATAAGAAAATCACTACCTCTATAAGGCTTACAATAGTCTTATCTAATAATAAGAGAGAGTAATAATTATAAATTATTATCTTATTTAGCCTATAATAGTTAATATAAAGTTATAAGCTACTATCTTTCTTCTTTATAAATAAAATAAATATATTTATAAATAAGATAAATAACTTAATAAACCTCTTTATAAATAATTCTTTAATATACTTATAAAATATCTTTAGCTTTAATTATAAGAGCTAGTAGATTAAATTAAAAAATATCTTTATTTTTAGTAAGACCTCTATCTTTAAGTCTACTTTTTTATAATATAAAGATAACTTCCTTAACTTCTTCTTTAAGAATATATCTATAAAATCTTAATACTCTTATAAGATCTTTATTATATTATTTATAATTACTACTTAATTAAGGCTAATAATTATATCTTTTTCTTATTTTTCTTTTAGCTACTTTATTAAGATTAGCCTTATTTTTATAATCTCTTCTAATTAATACTTATACTATTTAAAAGTCTTAAAAGAGAAGTTTATACTTAAATTCTCTATTATAAGCTATAATATTTTTAATATTATATATTTAATATTTATAGCTACTATAAGGATTATAATCTTTCTTTAGACTCTTTATAAGTCTTATATATAAAGCCTAAAATAATAGACTCCTTATATAAGGATCTTTATATTATTTATAATAATTATTTTTAAAATATTTATAACCTACTTTAATTACTTAATTTTAGCTAATAGTATAGATACTATATTTATTTTTATACTATAATTAAGTATAATATCTTATTTATTACTTTATAATTTATCTTCTAGTACTATTTTTATAAAGATAATTTTATTTATTAATAATAACTTTTTTTTAGCTATAAGTACCTAGACTTTTATAAAGTCTAGCTCTTTACTTTATAAAAAAGTATTCTTTATAAGGGCCTTTATAAGTTATATCTCTTTAATTTTTATAACTTATAAGATAATTTTAGACTTAAAATAGTTTCTTATTATATACTTTTTCTTCTTATAATTAAAATATTTAATCTATAAGTAGACTCTCTCTTAAGGTTTTATAAAGATAATTATAATAAAGAGTTAAATAAAGATTATAATAAAGGGTTTTAGTACTATAATTTTTAATCTAGGCTTTATTATCCTTAATTTAATTTTTATAAATTTACTATATTTATTCTCTTTAAAGGCTAATTAAGTCTTTATACTAGCTATTATTTAAAATATTAATATATAAGTTTAATTATATTACTACTATAAGCTAGGCTAAAGTCTTATAAGTAGTAATAATAATTCCTTAATAAATATAAGAAATCTTTTTTATTTATAAACTTTTTTATAAATTATTTATAATAAAGAGTTAAAGAATAATTAAAGCTATATCTTCTAAAGATCCTTTATATCCTCTTTTAGCTCTTATTTTATTATTAAGTAATATTAATAATAATTATAGTCTAGTTTACCTTTATAAGGCTAAGAGTATAATATTATTAACTAAATATTAAGCTTATAATTTTTTAGGTTTTTAAGCTATAGCTTTAAGTATTTATAAAGTCTTACTTAAGTCTTCTTTTCTAAATAAAGACTTAAATATTAATTCTAGAGTTTTAACTTAGTAAATTCTAGAAATACTACTATAACTACTAGTTTCTACTTATTATCTTATTTATTTATTACTATAAGAGTATCTTATAAGGTGATAAATAATTAGAGGTTTATATAAATAGTTATTTAGTATTATTTATAATCTTAAGAAAAATAGATTTCTAAATTAAATTATTTTATATATTAAATATTAAGGGTTATAAGGTCTAGAGACTTATTTTAAGTATACTTTATAGCCTTTTTAATTAATAATTCCTTAAGCCTTTATAGCTTTATTAAGAATTATATTTTTTTATAAAATATTATAAGTTTTTTTAACTTCTCCTTATTTATAAGAGAGTTATCTTAATTCTTTTTTTAAATTATAAGGAGGTCTTAATCCCCCTCTTTCTTAATAATAATCTCTTTTAAAAAAGATACTATATTAAGAGTACTCTCTAAACTAGCTTTACTACTCTCTTAGTTTATAAGTAGTTTAGTCTTACTCTTTAGCTATTTATAAGTTTTAAGTATTATTACTCTAATAGACTAGTTACTTTATAAATAATAAAATTATAAGGATAAATAAGTATAGTAATAAGTCTAATATAAAAGAGGTAATATAATAGTATTTATAAATAGTATATCTTATTTAATAATAAGATTATTACTATATTTCCCTAGCTTTATAAGAACTTAAAGATGAAGAGTTTACTTTATTATATAACTCCTAGTTCTTGGCAGTAAACCTTATAATTTAGCTTTTAAGAGTAGAAAGCTATAAGATATTATATATTTATTTTTATCTTAAGTTTCTTTTTAGTATTGTTTAATTATAATAAAATTATAATAATTATTAACTTAAATATATTAATTATTAAATATAGTTTTTTATTCTAGATTAAAATAAATTAAAATAAGTAGATTTATAAAGGCTTCTTTAAGCTTATTAAATATTTTTCTTATAATAAATATTAATATAAAAGCTTATATTAGCTTCTTCTTCTTTATGCCTTAAGTAAGGTTAATAAGAAGTATTATTAAATTAAAATATTAATTTATAAACTAATAGAAATATTTTATAAACCTTAAGAAGACTTATAAATTATAAAATATTTATAGTTTAAGCTATTCTTTAATAATATTAATATAAGCTAAATCTATTTTAAAGCTATTTTAGCCTATAATAAAATTAAGGAATTTTAGCTTTAATTTATAGAATTTATATTTAAATAACTTAATATATAGATTATAAGTATATAATTAATATAATATTTAATTAATATAATTAATATATTCCTCTTTTAATTTTAAGAAGATAAGGATATTATTTAAATAAATTATATAAAAAATATTTAAGATTCTATATATAGCTTTATTAATATAAGATTAAAAAGTAGCTAATATATTAATAAGTCTAAAGAATATTACTAAATATTTTTATTAATTATAATATATATAAAAAGAAGTCTTTTACTTATTATCTTTATAAATATAGATCTAATAATAAATATTATATAAATTAAGCTTAATAAAGAATTTTATACTTACTACTTAATTTATTAGCTTATTAATATATAATAAGAGATAATAATCTTTTTTAGTAACTATATTAAGAGCCTTATAATTAATATATAATTATAGTATATTATTTAATTTCTTAATAAAAAGAATAAATATACTAATAAGACTTATTAAGGATTAAATCTAGCCTTATTATATCTTTTCTTAAAGATACTTATAAAGTATTTTTAATTTAAGGGCTAATAAGCTATATATAGCCCTTTAAAGGGATAGCTTATTATTTATAAGTTTAATTTTATATTTTATAATTTTTATAAAAAGGAGTCTTATCTTATATTTAAAGAAAATACTTTTATAGGCTTAATAAACTTTAAGTAGATTAAAGACCCTTATAAAGCCTAAAATAAGATTTATAAATAAAAAATAAATAATTTTATTATAAAAAAGCTTAATAAAATAGTTTATAAAATTAATCTTAATTTATTTAATAAATTATTTAAGATAATATTAAATTAAGATAGTAAAATTAATATATAAGTTAATATATATTATTTATATTTATTTTAATATAAGATTATATCCTTATATATTAATAATATTATAAAGGATATTATATTACTCTATTTATTTTTAAATATCTTAAATAAAGATTATTAAGAAAAATAGGCTAAAGTAAAAAATAGTTTAATTATTAATAAACTTAATAAATCTTAAGTATTTATATATAAAACTTAAATTATTAATAAGTAAAAAATAATAAGAAATAAAGTCTTCTTAAATATTATTATTTAATAATATCTTTATTTTAATATATCTAGTTTTAAGAGTAATCTAGATATTAGCTATAATAAAGAGTAATTAATTAAGATTATCTTTTTATATATAAGTTAAAACTAGTATATTAAGAGGTTCTTATTTTACTATAATAATATTAAAATTATTAATTATTTTTTTAATATTATTCTTTTCTTAACTTATCTTCTTCTTTTTTTTAAGGTAGTTTAGAGAAATATATTTAATCTTATTATAAATAAAATAATATATTTTTTTTATTTACTACTTATATTTCTTTAATAAGAGTTATTAAGAAGAATATTACTTTTTTATATTTTTTATAGTATCTTTATCTCTCTCTCTTTTTTAAGACTTCTTAAATTAGTTATTAGTATCTTTATTAAATATTAATATTATAATTATTAATAAATTATAATTAATAGCTTTATAAATAAATAATTTTATTCTTTATAAACTACTTTATTTTAAACCCTTTAATATATACTTCTTAAATTTAATAATTAAGAAGAAGCTTATAATAAAGATAATATTATAAAAGATAATTAAGTTTTTAATAATCTCTTTATATAGCTTTAATTTAATTATATATATAAAAAATTAGTTTTAAATAAGATCCTTAATAATTACTTAACTTATAATAAATATTTATATAATATTCTTTTAGTTACTAAAAAAATTTATAATATTTTAATTTTATTTTTATTATAGGTTTTAGAGTTTATTAAAGATAATTAAATCTTTATTATAGTCTCTCTTATATTATTAATATAAAAAATTAAATAGTCTAATTAAGGTTTATAGTTTTAAGTTATAATACTTTAACTATTTTATCTTTATATTATTTTAGAGTTAATCTTTAATATATTATATTTTACTCTCTTCTTTCTAAAAAAAGAATAATTTAGCTTCTATATAGGCTAAAAAGTTATATTTTTAAAGATAAAGCTTTTTTATAAATTTACTTATATAAAATTTAAGCTCTAAATATTTAATAATCTTTATTAATAAATATTATTTAATAATATATAGTATTTATTATAGTACTTTATTATTTATAAAAGCTAGCTAGAGTATAATATCTTAATACTTTTAATTAGTTATAAGTCTAAGAGAAGTTAATAGATTATTAAATAAATCTTTAAGAAGTTTTTAAGCTAATTATTCTCTTACTTAATTTATTAAAGTATTAAGAGATACTTTAGGCCCCTCTATAGTATAGGTTAATTTATTTATATTAATATTTAATTAGTTAATTATAGATATTTTAATATTAAAGATTACTTAAGAATAGTTAGGCATCCTTAATAATTAGTTTAATATTCTTAAGATAATAATTTATTACTAATATATTATTTATTTTAAGTTATTTTTAAGTATAGATTCTTTATAATCTTAAGATTCTTATATTAAATTAAGCCATGGAGAGGTGGGCGCAGCAGTGGTAGCCCTTAAACCCCAGGTGGCCAGGCAGGCTTACCTGGGGTTAGAGACTACTAATACTATGGCTATAATAAAGGTAGTAGGTATTATCCTAGCCCTTTATCTTACTAAAGAAGACCTATACTTCTTTAGTATAGTTAAAGTATATATAGATAATTAGGCTGTCCTCTAGATACTCTAAAATCCTACCTAAGGATCTAATTAATACCTAGTAAGAGAGATTATAAAACTACTAGAGGAGCACTAAATAGCTAGCTAAGAAATAAGGTTTTATTAAATCCTAGCCTATATTAGTATACTAAATAATAAATATATTAATAAGATAGCTAAATAAGCCACTTAATAGCGCCTCTAAGAATATAATAATAATAGATTTAAGGTGCTATTATTAAGGGGTATTACTACTATACTATTCTACTCTATAGTAATCTGTCATTTTGGGCCGCCGCCGCCGTTTTCGGCCGGCCGCCCGTTGCGGTTTAGCGGCCGCCGTGACCCCGCCCTGTCCGGTTTAGCGCGTCCAGATCCGGTTTGGTGTGCTGAGCCATCCCCGAAGAGGAACTGCCGCCGTCCACCGCCCGTCGTTGGACCGCCGCATCTATATAACTATCGAGTGCGTCGCTCGACGACGACTGCTCCTTCTTCCCTTCGCAACACTGCCCCCCTCCCCCTGTTTTTTCGCCCCCATGCCGCGGTGAAACGCCAATCTCCGACCGTCCGCCGAATTGCCCCGTCGCCTTCAGCCCGTCCGGAAATTTCTGATCGTCACACGACCCGACGTGTCCACTCCTCGGCTTGATGGCAGCTCTCTGACTCGCTCTCTGGAGCCTGCAGGCTCCTTTTTCAGGCGCTCAGCGCGCGTTGCATTTGGGATAACGATCATAGGGGCGCAGGGATGAATGCTGCTGCCTGGAGAGTGGAGAGGAGAGGAGGAAGAGGAGGAGGAGGAGCTGGTGTGGGTTTCATCCATCTATCGGGGAACGATTCGACCAGGCTGTGTTTCCGCCATGATTCACGGCTCCTTGACCTGAACGACTTGTCGATACCTTCGACTTCATCACTTGCATTGTTCTGGACTTTTTTTTTTCGTCCCTGTGACTGCGAACTGCGATTTCGGTGGGTTGAGGGATGAGCCTGGGGAATCCCCCAAATCCCCCAAAGGCCACTTTCCCTCTGGCCGTCCGGACAACCGTGTGCGCCTCGCCAAAGGCTATCAGCTCGTAGCCAATTAAAAAAATGCCTCAGGAGCTTCTATCCGTGACGACTGTGCCCTGACGACGGAAGGGCTCGTTCCCCCTCCCGGGCAGACAGCGTATCCATTTTCGACGCCGATGACGCGTCCGGCTTCACGAGCACTGCCTCATACTGGATCTACAGGTTGGCATCGCTCCCTGCAGCTGACTGTGGGACTCCTGGCTCCGGAGCTGAGAAATCCGGGCGGACTCGGTGTCCCAGGCGTTGTTGGAAGAGCTAATTGGCGGTGAGACGTCCGTCATTTGCTCGCATGCGATGGGCGAATTTGGACTCTATTGGAATTCGAGAGATCATCCACGGACCTGCCGGAGTTCCATTTGTCGCCCAGCCGTCTCGAGACCTTGTTGGATGCGTTGGATGCCCAACGGCTCTGCTATAAAGCTGGGCTGTCCTTCTTTGCGCCGAAAGCTGAGCCAGCCATTGTCTCTTTAACTGCTTCCCATTGCTCGCCCGAATCCTATCCTCCAGCCCTCCGTGATGACCCAGCCGGCTCCCAGAAGGGTTTTGGTAGATCTGGACAATATCGAGTTCTACCGGCCCCAGCCGCCCTCAAAATCACTGCAGCCAGAATCGGCTCTTTCTATCCTCCCGGGCGTGGCTACTCGCAAAACTCTCCCTCGCGGCGATAGTGCCCTGCTTTTTGACCGTCCGTATGGGTGGAATTCTTCATGCAATCCTACGTCGTTGAATTCATTTGATATCGAGTTGGCCAGGTGCGCGAACGCAGCATCACTGGCGACAAGTTCCCCTACAGATGACGAACTCATGCTGAGTGAACCTGGAAACGAGGCTCTTAATGCCTCCACATCCTGTACGTCTCGACTTTTGGGGATTGGTATTCTGTATTTGGTCGTTTTGCTAACGTTCACACTGCAGTGCCGACTTCGTCTCCCTCGCTCTCGAGCTCCCTAGAACCAACAGATCTGCCAGGCCCCTTTGGAAGTACGGCAAGTCAAGAAAGGATTGAAATCCCTACAGGACTTGACGGTCATAGCCCTCTATCTCCGGAAGTACAGGAGCGGGATCAGCCTCCGGGTAAGGTCTTTCCATACGCAAACCTGCTTTGTACAACATTTTTATTGACTTTCGCAGATATACAGCCTTGCGTCTCACATCCCGACGAGCCCAGCGTAGACAACCGGCGCTGTTCGAGTGCCTCGCACTTCGACAACCACGACAACCACGACTTGAATATTCGCGGGACCCCATCCAGCCATACAGAACAGAACGTTCAAAGCAACAAGCCTCCCGGAGAGCGAGAAAACGACCAGGTTCTTTTGGGTGCTGGCCCACAGCAGCTGAAGCAAAATATCTCAATACCAGCCTTGAGCGAGGGGGAACCACTTCTGAACGATCAACGAGCGCCTTCGATCCGTGTTGTTGACTCTGGCCCAGAAGGCCAACTCCATTCAGAGTCGGATAGGTCCCTTTCGGCGGAGTCCATGAAAGCACCAGTTCGTCAGAGAAGTTCGATGCCTCCTCGCAAGGTAGCTGCTGTTGCCCCGAGTCTAGAGCGGCCATCCACAATCACAAAGCCGCCCCGGCGAAAGTCCTTTGAAGTCGCCCAGGCACGAATTGTTGGACGGAGAAACCGGCCCCGTCGCAGCTGCCAGCCCGAATTTGATATTGTTCAGCACGACCGCGGTCGTGACTGCCCTGACCTGGAAGAGAGCCTGTGTTGCACAAAGAGACGCAAACGTGCCACTCGACGTGCAAGAAAAGTGACCAGCTGCCCATCTTCAGGACCGATTGGGCAGTCGCTAGGTAGCTTAGCGTCCTCCGCGAGGTCGGCGGAGTCCTACCACAGCCAAGATATTCTGGGGCTTGCCGTCCTTACTGTCGAGACTCATGCGTTGGGGACCTCGTACTTTTTCTCCTTCGAGCCAAGTTCACCAAATGAGCTGGACGCACCGCAACTTCGATTCTCTCTTGACGAGCCGCGCCGCCTGACGGCCCCTTCATCCACGCGTGGGCCGAAGAATATTCAGAGGTCTAAGAAGGGAAGACTTCCCTCTAGAAATGATATTCTTCCTACGATTACATGCAACCCCCTCGACGAGCGAGAATGGGAGGTGGAGCAGATCCTGGCGTCCCGGGTATGGAGAGGAAAGCTGCAATATCAGGCTCAGTGGAAAGGATGTGATCCCGACCTTACCTGGTATCCAGCCCGCGGGTTCAAGGGTGCTCCGTATAAGATCCAGAACTTCCACGGCGTGTTTGCAGATCAACCGGGGCCCCCGAAAAGGTTGAGGGAATGGCTAGAAGCTTGGGAGGCGGGGCAAGACCTTGACGATGTCCCAGATGATGACCTTCCAGAGTAACATGTACCGTTGGACGCCATAAAGATATTTTAGATCCTATTATATTATGCTTAGAAGACGCCTCGGAAAGTAGTATGAGCATACAAACCCCTCTTCAAGAAGCCGGCTGTCGAAGGTTAACCATCTCCAGCAGGTCTTTTGAGATCAGTAAAGCGAGCACCTGTGGATTTCCTGTTCGGGTTCGTTTTGCCATTCCTGGAGTAGCGCCCTAATACACCGTCTGTCCCTCTTGTCCCTCCCTTCAACTCATCGCCGCCCCGTTTCTTGCAATCTGGCCCCACAAAGCGCTGCGACTTGGCTTTCAGCTCGTTCTCGCTGGAACGGCAGTCTCACAGGAGAAGAATCGCTGGGATGAACTAGCCCACAGCAGCATCGTTTTCCTCCCCAAGGGAGAAGCCAGTGCACTATGTTTCGAAGCCTTAAGTCTACCTCTGCAATCGAGCCTTTTCGTCTCTGGGCGCTACACATATCAGCTAGTGAATGCTAGGTCCGAAGTGAAGCTGATATCCATACAGCCCCTAATGAGAGCCATGAGCCAAACTCGCAGCAAGAACTATCGATCCAGGAGTTGATCACGTTCTCTCAATCCTGCTTGTGGGCTCTTCAGGATACACACCCAGGATGCACAGCTCCTAGTCATGAGTATTTCACAACCTCAATTTTTTGTGCGTTTATATGTTCTTATAGTTAAGCGTGTTCGTGCGAAAGTAAAACACCCAAGTTGTTGTGAGGAGTCTGAAGAAGGCAAGATGAAATGGCCACCTTTCGTAGGCTTGTTATGGCGATTTGAATCTATACAGAATGTGAGTATCTTATAACATTAGCTTAATGAAGGTACCTACCGTCACAATTTGTGTCTGCAGGTTGGTTTGTACGCAGGCAAGTATCACCAGGCCTAATAAAATAGTAAATAATCCTACAGAGCCAATGGACGCCATCCACAAGGCTCGTTGGTGCCTGGTAGCATCCGGGCACGGATAGTGCCAAAATGACTTGAATGCACTTGTATCCATATGCCACGGCCTAATGCATATGACCCACGCCCTGATAATTTGGGCATGAATGAGGCTGAGGCCAATAAAAGCGATGATGATAAAAGAGGAAAGCAAAATGCTGCGCTGCTCCTGCATCTCTCAGTCAATAAAGTGCACACAACATGCAGGGCACGTTGGAACGCACCGGAAAAGAGACGGAAAGTGATAGAATGATAACCGCACCCAAGCATGAAAAGGCAGATATCATATGGGATGTCCAGTGCTGTAGAGTAGAAACACATAGATACTGGCAGACGTCAGTATGGCTCTCCTTCTATTTCACCACTCTCACCTCGTTTACAATGACCAAAACAAGCACGCAGCTGATTTCCAGCTGCAGTATTAGCCATGGCAAATCTGATATATGGTCAAGGAGGAAGCTAAATTGGCCAAAGGAGCAACCTACTGGTCTTTAGGTTTGCTCTCAGGATTGATAGTAGAACGGAGAGGATTGATCCCAAGAAGACGAGAGCACCTATGGTAGCTTGAGCGGTGATGAGCGGTTCATTCTTTAGTCTTTGCCAGCTCAAAGCCTTGATCGAAATGAGCCAGAGGGCAAGACTTGATCCGCAGCAAACTGATGCTATCGTCGACGCAGTCAATTGAAATAACAGATTGGAATCCATTGGACTTTTTTGTTCAATCAGGGGCGGTGCGTGGCCAATTCAAATATATAGGATGTTCTGAATTTCTAATATCTGGCTTGGAGGCCTCTTCCATAATGTTCAGCACATAGCAGCTGCCTTGGCAATGCTTTCTCTAACTGATCGAGGAGTAGGTCACTAAGTTCGCCCTTCAGCAGGACGGATATTGCCTCCCAGTAATTCACATAAGCCTATCACAAGGTGTGCTACTGAGCCAAAACAAATCGCTATGACGCCTGAAGACTAAAATTATCTTGCCGTGCCTGATGCGAGGATCGACGAGAGGAAGAAATGGAGGAAGATATGGAGGAAGATATGGAGAAATATAGAAATGGAGGGAGAAATGGAGGAAGAAATGGAGGAAGATGTGGAGGAAGATAGAGATGGAGGAAGAAATGGAGGGAGACATGATATCTGAGTGGTCCAAGACCCTATGCAGCCCCACTTCCGTCCTGCAACTGTCAGAAAGTCGAAGCAGTTGTAGGAACCGCAATGGACAACAAACCGTTTTCACAGGAGGCGTTGGAATGCATAATGTCACAAGAATTCAACGGACTTATCCGGTCTGCGGATTATAAAACGTTGAGTTTCCCCGTCAGTTCTACTTATTTCTCCCTTCAAGCAATAGCAGGTCCCCGAAGAAAATCCAGCGTTGGCTCTTCACATCAGTCTATCTTGACTTCGAATTTTCAACTTGTCAAGTTCAATTTCTTTGCCCAATATGTCTATCGGTGAATACTCTGTGGATCATTTTCAGACACTTCCCTCCCTCGAGGTTGCCCGTACCAACTTTGTGAACCTGAATGGAGATGATCTTGTGAAAGATGTCTTCAGAAAGTTTTTCGTTGAGCAGGGCATGGATCGAACGTTTGGTCTCGCCATGCTCCATCGTCATTTCGACCTCAAGCCTGGTGAGATGCTTGTTGATTACCAGGGTACATCTGTACCTTGGGACGCAGGCCATGTCTCCGGAATGAAACCTCCTCAGCCCGCTATTTGGGCAGTCTCATCTGATGGCGAATTCAAACCGACAGAGTTCTATTTCTCGGAGGAGAAGGGCTTGACCATTGGGGAGGAAGAGTTACGTTTTATGAAGCGCTTTCAAGAATTACTTCGTGAGCACAAAGTTACCCAATCGTTTGGTCTCTGCCGATATCCTGGAGACGATTTCAATGGCTTGTGTGAAATCACCCATGGAAGAGCCAATATCAACCTGAAACCAAATGATGTACGTGGAACCCAGGATGTACCATGAGGCAGTAACTGACTTGACCTGAATTTAGTGGCCCAAAAACCTGAGTGCTGTGGACACGGCTTGGTTTTTTTGGGAACCAATCTGGACCCGTGGATGCCGATGCACCTGCAATGCAAGGAGTCCTGATCACCCCCATGGAGTTCACATTTACACTGTGTCTGGATACAGACGGCAGTAGCGCCGTGAGAATTTGTTGCTTTTGTCTACAATGACAAATTTATGATAGCCTGTGGCAGCTTATGTCACGTTCCTTTCCTTAGATGCACTTAGCTTTAGCTCTATATATTCTCTGCAAAAGAATCGACTTTGGTCTGTTCGTTATAGGGGCAGTGTGCCGTAGTGTGCGATGTATAGACAGATTTTCACAATTTGGGCGTAAACACGTTTCTAATATCAATGGTGTGTTTTTGAAATGTTACAGTGCATATGCGCAACTGAATATCATGATGCATCCTTTAGGACGGTCTCGGTTAGTTTAATCCAACGGGGGCGGAAGCGTAGGGAAGCCACCAAGCACAGCCACGATTAGTTATCAGTCAAAGAAGCTTCGACCAAGAATATAAATACCACCACGAGCGCATGTCCGCTGGCCTCATTCAAATTAAAATCATGCAGCAACAGTCTTTCTATGAGAATAATATTCCCATCGCCATATCCCAACTTCGAAGGGATAATCAAATTCCCACCCTGTGTCAGTACTTTGACGGTGGCCAATGCCGTGTATTCAAGGTGACATTCACAGACGGTGAGAGTTGGGCTGTACGAGTGCCTCTTTTTGTCCGCCATGCTTCACAGGACACTGTTATACAGCTTCTTGAGTCCGAAGCTTGTATTCTTAGAGAGCTTGAGATGGCTGGATTCTCATGGGCTGCAAGGCTACGGGGTTGCAGTCTCACATTCGATAATGCGATCGGATACCCGTTCGTCGCATTGACTTGGATTCCGGGCAGACAGCTTTCATGGTCCGATGAATTTCCGACTCGACCTCTTCGAAATAAAATTTTAGCTCAAGTTGCGATGTTGCATGCGTCACTGATCGAATGTACTAAGGAGACCAGTATGTTCAATACCTTATATTACAGACCGAACTTTGCTCACAATTCCAGGGGGATCTTCCCGAAAACATTTCACCCGGATAATCCGAAACAAGGCTCGTCGAGTCCGCGATGGTCTCCTTCCAGAAATCACGGAACAGGACTGTTCCGACCAAATGAACATTCTCTCTAATGTTCTTTTACCTGAACTTGATGAAGCACCTTTCGCCGTTGTCCATGGCGATATGTCACCACAAAACATACTCATAGATGCACAGCACAATGTCACAGGGTAGGTGAGGAAATTTACGGTTCACAGCCAAGTGCTGACTGCCGAAGCATTATCGATTGGGGGTTTTCATCAAAGGTGCCTTTCCAACAGGCAGCGTGTTTCCCCCGATTTCTCCAGCTACAGAACCTTGACATAGCACCAAGTTCCACTCTCCTGAAAGACCGGGAGACTTACATCGCGTCCGTTCGATGCCAGAAATCACCAGAAGTGGCATTGAAGATGATTCAAGTGCTATCATCCGATAATGCCGACTTTCAACACTGCTTTCTGGAATCGATCATAAGCAAAGGTATGCATCGGCGACTGGCACGCAACGGATGGAGGCTTTCATCTTGCGAGCAAGGCAGCAATGGGAAAGGTAACGGAAACGAAAGCAGACCTTCCTGGTCTGTTCAACATCATATTTTCGTATGCTGCATCGCAAGCTTGATGATGATGCTGCTGGCTTTCTACATCCGGGGATGGGGTTCATGAGCCGCTTTCCCAGTTTCAAGCTCCAGGAAATATGTGTTTTGCAATAATTTTTTTTAACACTAATATTCTAGTTGTCTGAGTTCAGATCACAAGAATGGAAGGTTTTCGAGAACTCGGACGGAGAGCCCTCAAGTTTGATGAAACAAATTTCGTACTCCGCTAAATTTCGGCGTTTCGTCATACAGTAAATTCGCCCTTCCGATCGGTATCGCTGCCCAACATGAAATCATCACGTGACTATACACCCCACATGGGCTTTACTCATGATTTAAAGCACGTCTCTTTTCCACCACCCCCCTTCAACGATAATCATGACTCCCCCGTCTGCAAAACCAACGCGGACACGTTGAAAACTCGCCGTAACAAGAACTGTGAGTGCTCCTTATGAAACGCTATATACGGGACTACAGCTTACACTTGTCGCATTAGTCCTGCTTTTCTGCGTCTGACGCATCCGGGCAGTGACCTTTTTGGCCCGCCAAAATCCGTCCTGCAAGACCAACTCTGTTGTCACTGAATGATTCATTGTGTGTCATTACCTGATAAGTGTCTAAATGGTAGGCAGGTCATACCGCATTCACGATCCTCGAGACTGATATGTTGCTAGTCTTTCGAACCAGAGCCGCTCGTTTCTTCCATAGACTTCGACAACGTGCCTGAGAATCGTGTGACAATGATTATTGGGAAAGGTCAAATGGTGTACTGGCAAGGAAGCAATGTCACTGTTTACGAGCTCGATGATGAAGGACAGGAACAGACAAGGAAACTTGTTGACATGCGGAATGGACAAGGTGTCGTTCCAGAGGGGGTCAAATTATACATCACCAAGGGGAAGGTGAAAGAAGAATGTTGAAGGACATTTTGTCGAGTGATTCCAATCTATGTATATAGCTTCTTTCGTATTTCTAACCCTTGAACGAGACCGAGCGATAGGCTGATGATAGCTCCTTTCTCAGTGATGATCATCGACACACATTCGGTCATTAATTTACCTTTTTCCATCTCTTGTATGCGAATACTGCTCTGGTTTATCGCCTGCTGTATTTCGGAACCAAACACCTGGACAATAGCTTCATCATGCACGCCTTTCAGAGTGACTTCGGAGTTGGGTATGGTCAAACTTGTTCCCCTTGTAAAGCCAATGTGTAGAGACTCTTTCACCCATTTCACCGTTGCATTGAATAGAGCCATCGCCAGAGGTTCTACGCTTGTTTCCCAGATATCGAGGCTCAATAAACAGTCGACCGCGCCCCAAGGAGGAAACACAGTTGTCACTGATGCCGTCGAACGCGTGATTCCGTTTACATGAACAGAAGTCGTTCTGATAGCTCCGCAAATAAGACCTTTGAAAACAGCAGCTATGCCGTCGATGGATGCATGTTCAAATATCTCTTGTGTGTTGGTGATATCCGAATTCTCTTGGCTGTCGTCTTGTGCGTGGGGCTTCGTAAGGTCTCGGTAGCCACGGCAGCTTGGGATATGTTCAGTTGGGTCTTCAAATGAGAGACGTTCCCGGTGATCTACTTGGTCTTAATCAGAGAGCCGCAACGTAGAGACAACAGGATGATGGAATCTTACGGTAAATGAGGGTTTGCCCATGAATGCCATCATCATGAAAGAGTTCAGGCTCCAAATTCATTCGATATGTAGAGGCACTGGCGATATCGACTCCACCATTCTCGCTGATGACTCCCTCACTTGTTGGCGAGATCCGGAGATTTTCGCTCCCACTAGAGTGGTTATCTTTCGATAGCCGCTTTGAGCTCAACTGTCTTTTCAAGGATCATAGTTGTGCAGGGAAACGGTCTTCAGTACTTACCCTTTAAAAGGGCTGCTGCTTCAGTATCACCCTGAAGGTTTGGAAACGATTGGTTTATTAGTGTCCGATGTTGTTCCTCACCCAGCTTACTAATCAGCTCTCGGCGATGGGCCATCTTCATGTCCCTGACATTATTTTGGCCAAGGGCCACAGCACATAATCGTACGGCTTGCGGGCCACAATTTTGAAGTACTAGGTCTAGGAACTGTCGATACTTGTCATGACTGGTAGACTCCGATGGGTGGTTCAATAAGGAAAATGCAGCTGAAGCTTGCTTGGAGTCTCTAGTTCCCAGGCGCCCGGTCGTTCTTAGTCTGTGAGCGACACGCTCTAATCTCTCCCAGGCTTCTGCACTGGTGAGACATTTCCGAGAACGGGGCCGCTTGACAGCCGGAACCATGATAGAAGAGGGAGGAGGAAATGGAGGAAGAAAACGGAGGAAGAAAATGGAGGAGGAAAATGGAGGGGAAATGGAGGAAGGAATGGAGGAATAAATGGAGGAAGAAATGGAGGGAGAAATGGAGGAAGAAAGCGATAAAGAAAAAGGGTCGTCTCATAGTTCTGTTATATCAGCCTCATGATTTGCTGACAGTGAGGGGTGAAGCGGGGCTAAGTGCAGCCAGTCCGTCCGCCTTACTCCCATAACGAGCTTGAGGACTATTTCTGCTGATGACCGCACGTGCCAGCACCGTCTGTTACCGCATGCACCTACGTTCATGCCAGGGCATCGCTCTACACTCCGCCTAAACAGCGCACTTCAAAGTAGCATCATGCGAGTTATCACAGCGTTTCCTTTCACTTGCATGTAGTCTTGCGCGAGTATCCCTGCAATAGAAAGAAACGTAGAGGAACGGTTGACCGAACTGATATAAGAGGAGGCAATCTCTGGAACTTTTGACGATTCCTACCATATTCCAATTTTCTCAAGAATCAAAGACCTATCTTATCATTTTTCCAATCCACAATGAGCGCCATCAACGGTGGCTACCCCGGCCCCTCCCAGATGTCTCCTATAGATGTCATCTTTCCCGGTTTCAGTGTGGTCTCAACCACCGCACACCAACTGCTTGCCGGTAACCTGGACAGCTACACCCGACTCTTTTGTATTTTCGTGGTGTTTGTCCTCGTCACCCGCTATGGAGTCAACTATGTGTGGGGGATAGTGAGAGCTTACTTCAGTTCGTATATCTGCTCTTATGATGGGATGATTCTAATAGTCTAAAGCCTCGACTATCTATGTCTCATACTACGACGAAGCATACGACATGCTAGTTGACTGGATCGCTGATCAACCATTTATCCACAATGCCCATTCATTGATTGCTCGAGTGAGATCTACACAGTGGATAAACAGCCTCTATTCAACAAAGAAAAAGCCTCTGACTTTTTCTCCTTAGGATAGATCATTTTATTTTTGGTATAGAGGGCATTTTCTCATACTTTACTGCGCTGTCAAAGAGCATCGAGAGGATCTCCGTATCTCCTCAATTGGTCTTAATGCCAACATCCTGAAAGATCTTATCGAAGAGTGCCGAGAACAATATCTCAAGGAGGCACAGAGGAAGATCTCCGTCTTTAAGCACCGCGAAGGGGAGTGGAAGAAAGCAAAGCTGAGACCAGTTCAGCCTATCTCCACGGTTATCATGGACGAGGAGGTAAAGGATGACATTTTAAGAGATGTGGACGAGTTTCTGGACCAAGACATGCAAGACTGGTACGCAGAACGCGGTATTCCCTACAAGCGAGGTTACCTTCTTTTCGGCCCCCCTGGGACTGGAAAATCCAGCTTTAGTCTATTGCTCGCGGGAAAGCATGAACTGGACATCTATACGCTTCAACTATCGAATATTTCGGACAGCACGGTAATAAGGCTTTTTGCCGAACTTCCACCGCGTTGTATTATTCTCTTAGAGGACGTGGATACCGCTGGGGTAGGGCGTCGGGGCAGTGTCAACACAGTCCAAGATGGCAATTCACAATCTGCAGTCACTCTATCCGGCCTACTGAATGTGCTTGATGGTGTCTCGTCTCAAGAGGGCCGGATACTCATCATGACCACGAATCATATCGACCATCTGGACGAAGCCCTGGTTCGGCCTGGCCGATCAGACAAGAAAGTCCATTTTAAACTCGCCGATCAGAACATGTCCACTCAGCTCTTCCGCACGGTTTTCAAGCAGTTGTCCAACAAAAAGCAATGCAACGAGAGATATGACGACGAAACGATCGAGGGGCTTGCTCGTGAGTTCGCCAGCAAAGTTCCCGAGCAAGTATTCAGCCCGGCAGAGGTTTTATCATTTCTTCTGGAGCGGAAGAAGTCACCCTATGACGCGGTCTCTGGTATCGAGAGCTGGGTGGCGAAAGCAAAGGATTGAGAGGTTGATGGGAAGAAGTAGGCGGCAGATGACAAGTGAAATGTGAGAATCACAGGGAAGAGTTGGATCAAGTCATGTTGAGGGAATGCCCGTCTGACAGCGTTAATTAATCACTTTTCCTTATGGCTTTTATCACATATCTTGGGGCTGCTATATTTGGCAGCCAATTCGTTCCATGTTATCTCTTGAGGTTTCGGGTAATGCGAGGCCTATCTCGTCAGCGGATAATTATTGAATGGTGACGACGCCTACCAGTTGCTCCCGTGATAGAGGCCATTGGCTGTCAGAATTGAAAAACACTATTTGGCCGTTGTGTCTGAGCCGTATCATCATGAAGACATCGGCATCACACTCCCGACAATATTCGAAGGACTTCCGGAGAAGACTGTTTCTTCGACGAGTTTGTTGCTGGCGTATTGATCTGGGGCTGTTGGAGCGGCGTCTGCCGATGGGACTTCGTTTCGCTGCCATTGTGCATAGGCCAGGAACCATTTACCCGACTCTCATCCACGGGGAGATGGCAGGTTTAAATAATCACGGGTTGGCACTGGGCCGATCCATGATCCAGAAATGAACGCGAGGAGAGGCCACGACGAGTCGAGGGGGTGCTATGGGTGCGATGAGCGTTGCTAAGGGCCGTTACTTTTTGTTGCGACGTGATGAGAAGGTTACCCTTTCCGCTGAAGATGTAGACCGCACGCTGAAGGCAGGTTGCCTGGGGACATCTTTCTCGTTGGTGGTGTATTTTCGAGGTCGCTGGCCAGGACCGATGAAGACTCGCTGCATGAGAATTCGCTTGACGGATAGGAGCCATGCTTTCTCGATAATGGGAAGGGGGACTGCGGGAGTCGAACCAGATAGTATCCCTCATGAAACTTGGTGGCCTAGTGCGGGGCAGATAGTACAGTCCATGTGTCCAATCGATCTGTATGTCGGCTCGCGGGGGGTGCGATGAACCCATCCATACCAGAGGTGCGATACCCAAGACCTGCGTGATGTCGGCTGACTGGACTCAAGTCTCATTCTGGCGCTGTCCGGCCACCGCCTCTCACATTGCCGATGGTGGCATCAAATTCTGATCTCGAAAATTGCTGTTTTCCTTGAGCTCTTGTGGGAAATTTGCAAGAAACCGCCTGCTACTCTAGCTTTGATCTTTGGATGCAGGGAGGTTGCGCTGCTGAAGGTAACTCTTTCTTCCGTCAAACCATGGCGGAAGCGCTGAAGCTCACTAGTGCCAATCTAACCGAAAAAGGCTTAGACTTGATCTGCCGGGAGATCTCCATGGCGTTCCACCATCCATGCCGCTGCGACCACGTAGGCCTCACATCCTGACATGTATCCAATCTGAGAATGGTATCTTCATCAATAGAACTAAAGGTGTCGGCACACCGTAGTCTATTGGCATGACTTTCCTGGGAACCTAGAGGCAGAACCTACCTTAATACTTACCCAGAGACTCTTGGGTCTAATGTTTTGATTCACCGGCAGGGCAGCCTGTTCCTTTTGTCCTTCCTTCAGAGATCTTCAGCGCCGTGGACGTTGTCTTCAGCTTCCCGTGGTATAAAAAGGTCTACTCTTCACAACATGCCTACCCCTATCCTCCATCCTTTCTCCGCTATACACATTGTCTATCTCTCATAGCAGAATGGACATTGTAGCCATCTATATAATTGCCGCTGGCGGCATTTTTGTTGCATTCTTCTTTATCCGGACTTTGTCCAGCGTTACCAGCTGGGCGGATTTCTTTCGTATCTTTGTATCTCGACACTTGACGCTCCCTTTTGTCGTTTAAAGGCATCAACTCTGTGGCCCATGGACTAGAGCCGGCGTGCTACTGCATCTGACATATCTGGCAGTTAATCTCTTACTTATTTTCTTTAAAATAGACTCTTTAACCGGGGCTGGCCGCCGGGCTGGAGAGTTGGCCCTTGTTAACTTGGTGTTCCCTTTGTCTGCCATCCATCTGAGCTACCTGGCTGATCTTTTAGGTATCATATGGAGGTCTTGTCGCAAGATACATCGTGCTACCGGCTGGATGGCTGTTTCTCTGCTATCATTTTATATGACAGTGGCGCTTCAGACACAGAGCTATATATTCCCTCTTCGGGAAGTATGAAACCTTTTTACCCTACTTGTACATATTGTCTTGGGTATTTAATACTCCACCTCAGGCTAACTGACGTGCAACAGGCCGCAATTTCACTGGGCCTGCTTGTCCTGCTTTCTCTCCCATTGGTTCGACGGCTATCCTACGAGATTTTCCTCCGAGTACATCAGGTTTTCGCTGGGATCTTTGTCTATGGCACTTGGCGACACCTTCCCTCCCACAGCCATGCCTCAAAAATATATCTCTTGGTTGCTTTGGGTGTTTTCGGACTGACTCTACTCTCACAGAGTATAGTTTTTCTATATCGAAACGGCCTGTTCTCGGGCCGCGGCACTCCCAGGGCCATCGTCTCATTTAGCGTGAGCGAGGCCGAGGAAGATAGTGTGGTGAACGCTGTCCATGTCCGTGTCCTCTTACCTCGACCTGTGAGAGTGGAAGCCGGCCAGTACATCAATCTCTGGATGCCGTCTGTCAGTCTATGTTCGTGGATGCAGACACATCCATTCACCGTCACGTCGTGGTCCAAAGGCAAGCAGGACACCATGGAGCTCCTAGTGAAGCCACGCACAGGCTTAACTGCGGATCTTGCCCGTTATGCACCCACTGATGAGCAGACCGAGGGGAGCTCTATTTCCTTTTTGGCCCTCATCACTGGCCCTCATGGAGTCAGTGAAGAAGTTGGTCAGTACGAAAGTATATTATTGCTTGCCAGCGGATGTGGGGTCGCCGGGGCCATACCATACCTGAAGAAAGCGATCTACGGTTACAATACTTGCACCTCTCAGATCCGCCGGCTGCATCTAGTGTGGCAGGTAGAATCCATCGACGAGATGAGCGCAGCCCTGACCCTACTGAATCGCCTTTTGAAGGATGATATCGTGGATGGAGGCTATGTGGGTACTGCGTCAACGCGGGAGATTCCGTCTAAGGCTGATCATATCCATGGGTCTAGATCCTCCACATCTCTATTTACGTCAGGGACGGCCTTGGCCATAAGAAGTTCCTATTGGGGGACCACAAACGAGTCTATCTATACCAGGGATTACCAGATTACCAAAGCATAATTTCCCTCGAAGCCAGTGGTAACCAGATCGAAAGACTGTCGAACATGTGGGACGAGCAAGGCCGGATGCTGGTCATGGGTAAGGTGTTCCGATTCCCCATGTGGGGTATTGGCTAACTGTCCTGGCTAGTCTCGGCAACGGACGAGCTTCGGGATCGCATACGGGGAGTAGTACGAGACTACCTCCACGAGGGAGTAAAGCTTTCCGAGTTGGAGTACCAGCCCAGCGATTGAGAGGTCGGTGATAACGCGGGAAATCATGGTTGGAGAGCATAGCGAATTGAAATCATAACCGTAGAAATTACTACGACATCGGGTAGAAGTGAAGAGAATGTCATGGAATCGTGAAACTGGACTGTTATTTTTGTTTTCCATACGTATTCTGGAGGTATCGCTGTATTGTTGTGTTCCCTCTGATCTGCAAGGAACCGCTGGCGTGCGTGGAGCTGGTGGGGTTGACGCAATTTATTTAAATTTCCGGTCCAGGGCCACGATTTCAGACCATGGCCATCGATTCTTGTCGGAGGACGCTCCTTTCTTTGATCATTTTGATCACCTTCACAAGGCCTCTCTGGCGGCCGATTTTGGCTCCCCTTCCCTATAAATAGAAGCTACCCCCCATTCTCTCCTTCCGCAATGAATTCACTCTTTCTTCCTCCGATTTCTCTTCCGCCCTCCCTTCCAACTTTTCTGCCGACCGGACAACCTCACACGGGACCATTTTCCCTCGCTACCCTAGGCCACTTCATTGTTCATCCTATTTATTCTTTTCCCCCTGCGGCTGGTCCGCTATAATGCTCTATCTCTGGCTCAGTCTTCCTGTAAGTGCTCCCTCATCCCACCCATGATATCGACCAAACTGCTCACCTTTCTGGTTGGAGATCCATGATACAGTGGTGTTTTATCTTGACGAATACACACGCGCCGATGTGTGTAAACCGTGTTCGAACTCCGATAAGACGCTCACATCTCTCTAGTTGGTCAACCGATTCGGCGGGAAGGTCCGACGGTTATTTTTACTTCCTCTGCAGCAGAGGTCCGTCGTGCTGGGAGGTTGCAAAAAAGGTGGACATATTCGATGGCATCAACTCGCGACAGAGGAGGAGGTGCTCTCGTCGGACTTCCGAGATGGGTGTTTAAATATCCACGTAGTCTCGGTCGGCATTGAGGTAATCTCCAGGGTATTTGCGCTTTCGCCATTGCTCATCGTCGCTTGTAGGATCCTGGTGCAGGCGTTCTTGCCATGAGCGCAACGGATCTCCGAAAGGTTAGTCAGTTCCGACCATTCTCCCAGAGTGTTCTCACCTCTAGCCAGTTTACGCACGACTTCGGTGTTGATTTGGATGAGATCCGGAAACTGGGGAAAGAAGAAATGGAATGCCTCTTTGGATGGCTCCGCGATGCCGGCATGCTCGACTATTCTGACGTGCTGCTAAACCAAGTGCCAGCCTATATTAACTTGCCTGAAGCACTGGGTGTGTCTTGCCTCCCATATCACCCGTTTTCCATTATTATTGTTCTTCCATCTGACCTTCGTTTCGGCACACCCGATAGGAAACTACAGCTCAAATCCCTCTTATGACGCGAACGCCGGTGACGAAATCGATTGCTCATTCGACTCCTTCCTAAAACAATACGGCCCTTCCGCTGAGCTGCCGCATACTGTTTCTCCTCAGCAGGAACCAGTCACACCTCCCCAATCCAGGGCAGAAGCGTCCTCATACCCGACACCTCTCTCCTCCGTCAACTCACCCCCGAGTGGACAGCCACTTTCCCCTCCGGCCCCCGGACACGACCAAGTACGATACCAATCCGTTCAATCTCCGCCATCCACTGACAGCCCTTTTGCTCCTTCTTCTTATTCGACACCCTCCACATCATATATGAACTCACCCCCCGGAGACGAGCCATTGGGCGCGTTGGATCCCAGCGTTTCAAATCCGACGAAGCTACAACTGTTGCAAACATGCCAGTTTAGTAAAGACGGCAAAGGATGCCTGAAGGACACCCAAATCACATCAACCCTCCGAGCTGAAGCTGGACTTCTCTCGGATGACAGTACCGGGCTACTGCAGCCCCTTTTGAATCACAGAGTAGAGAATCTGCCGGCCTTAGAGGCCCTTGGCCTTCCCCTTCAGTGGAGAGGCCTTAAAGGTGCAGTGGTTTATTATCGCACGCTCGAGGCCGCGAAAAAGAAGAAGTCACCACTCGGTGTTCTCGCCAAGCGTATTGCACAAATGTTGTTTTACCTCAACTATAGGTGGCTGGAAAGACATATGGAAGGGGCTAGCAATTCTGTCGCTACACTCATCCTTGACGCCTGCCCTGAGGAGCCAAAGGACCCGAAGCTCATGAAATCCCGTCGTGACAACATCACTGGCTATCACAAGCGCCGAGGAGAAAGATGGTGGCTACATGTGGCGTGCTTAGGGCCTGGTATCTTAACGCATGCTAGTAGTATCTTGGAGACTGAGTACGTTCTTCCCAAGAGGTTCACTATGCTTCGACTAACTCACGTTCATAGAATCATAACCAGCTCGAGAAAGGAGCAACTCCAAGTTTTTATATCGCTGATCTTGCGCATTCGACCAGGCTACGTCAACTTATTTGGTCGCTGGGAACCAGTGATCAAGGCAATAGCTTCTGGAGCGACTACATCCAAGCTTCGCCAGATCCTTCAAACAAGCAATGCTGACACCGTCAGTCAAGCTAAACTAGCGTGCGCCTATGCATCGGATCAGGAAGCCTTATCCCACCAGCAAACTGGAGAGACCTGGAAGGCGACAGACGTCGAAGCTATTGCAGAGGAGAAGATAGCTGAGTTTCTCTCGGATTATTGACCATCTGGTGACTATCAGTGCCACACTTTATTGTGGGTTGCCAATTTTGGATATAGCGCGGTCATCTCTACTTTGGTCCGCCTCGTACTAGATTTCTTAGTTCGTAGACTTTATTTGTTCGGTCGTTGACGGCCATGCGTTCTTAGATAGAATCAGGAAATGCAAGCTAACAATTAATTGACAAGATACCGGGCCCTTGAACGTCACGTAATTCCAGACTGTTTCCGTTATCTGTTTCCCTAAGACCATGGTTTTAGTATGAAAGTACGCGTGGTAATGAGACAGAGACGCGCAAGCCCGACCAATGCTCCTGCAGCGCAGCGATGCTTGGTGATAAGGGAGTGCTATTTGCGGTCAGATATTTTGCTTAACAGCTTTGACTCCAGAAGGGTAACTAACCTTTCTCAAGTCTTGGATTGTCGCGACGGATGCAGTAGCGGACAGAAATCCTAGCGGGTCTGACTGCCACCGGGTACTATCGATCCCAATCACACCATCCGGCTTCAAATACTTCTGCATGAGAAGCGTGGTGATGTTGGTCAGAGCGTGGAGAGGCTTTGCTTGGGATTGATTCGGCTGGCGCTCAATGCAGTGCTCCAAGGCCGCTGTCCGGGATCGTGAGCAAGATGTATCCAAATGATTGGTGCACATACCAATCTGTATGATCCCGTCTTGCCCTAGGAGAATATTGGAACACGTCAAGGATTCATGTTCAAAGCCGCATTCCAGCAAATGTGTTAATCCATCAAGGACCTTCCAGGGATACTGTCAGTATCGGCTATGATTTAACCTGTATTCCCATACCTGTATGAGGATAGAAGCAAGCTGAAGCTCAGACGGGAAGATATCACAGGCGACCACATGCTCCAAAGTCAGAGGGAGGTCATCGACAATGAAGTAAGTCGTCCCATGATCCTTGAAAATCTCCCTTGCAGAGATGATATTGGGATGTTTGGTCTTCCGAAGGACTTGCAGCCAGATGTCTGCTTTGTCCCTGGAGAAAGAGCGGACAGCGATCACTTTGCGAGGATCCTCTCTGTGGATGGCAAGAGATACGGGCCCGGCAAGATCGCAGGTAAATAGATCTTTCAATGTGTCCCAGGGACAACCTCTCTGGATGACCAGCGAATGCACCGCCAGACCCTCACCTCGACGGTTGTCTTGCCCATGGTCGCGCAGGACATTCTTGGACAGGTCTTGCTGCGATCGTGGTTTCACCCCCTTTGTTAGTTTATGGGTGCCTAAAGGCTGAGACTCCGTCTGTCTAGGCTCTGGTGTGGGTGCCGAAGGATCAGGCCCTGCAATTTCCTCGGTGAATATCTGTGTGACACGCTTAGCCATGATGTCGGATGTCTGGTGACGGAAGGTCAGACAAGACATCCATGGGGGAGATTGGAGGACGTCGCTTTATGAAAATGTGGATTCCACGGTACTGGGTAGAGCGCTGAAGAGCTGAAGTTGTTCTAAATCCGTGGCGGTTCAGCGCTGAACTTTATCCACGACAATCAGCTTAAATACCTCCATTTCCACGCAAGATTTCCGACCAGGAGAATCAAAGCCACTACTCTCCTTCGCTATGGAGTTCATATTGACGGATGCTGAACACCGGCTAACCGCAGAGCGGCAGCTTAAATACCAAGGTACCGCCAAAGTCAATCTTGACCAGATCTCTCTCCAGTCTCTGAGCAGCCGGGAGATCGACCACCGAAATGTGGAGCGATTACGAGAGATCTTTGCCAAGGACGGGTGTAAACGCCTCGACCTACGAAACCACGTGACTGCTGTGGTGTCCACTTAGGGGTGGGTCGATGAAATTTCATGAAATGAAATTTCAACGATTTTTGGCTTAGTCATCTGAAATATAATTTGGGGGTTGAAATTTTTAGATTACTAATAAATTATATGGCTTAGTAAAAGTATCAGGGCCATGAAAAATTTATTATAATAAAAACAGTAATAAAAAAGTAATAAATATAGTAAAAAAAGGAATTCCTTTGCCAGTTGGCCTATATCCTATATCTATATCCTGATATGCCTAATGCCCTGGTGCCCCCAGTGCTCAACGTCGCCAGTTGCCTATATCTTAATATAGCCTAGGTGCCCCGGTGCCCCCGGTGCTCGACGTCGCCAGTTGCCCATATCTTAACATGGCCTAGGTGCCCTGATGCCCCTAGTGCTTGACGTCGTTAGTTGCCCACAGTGTTGAATCTGCTAAGGCCCCTAGCTGCATGGAAAGTAGGTAAGTCTAGGTGGCCCACTTTATATAGCAAATGACGCCTAGGTGGGCTCACACTATATAAAAAGTGCTCCCCCCTAGCAGACTCTGGGCCCAGGAGCGTTTGTTTGCATGATTGGGGCCTAATTGGGGCTAGTGGATATATAGAGGGAGTAGGGGGATTAGCAGGGGCACTAGGGGCCATTAACTAGTATATTAATATGCTAGATGCCGTTGATTAGTGCTCTAGGGGGCATCTTAGGGGGGTTAACGCCGGCAATAACATGGGATCTAGGCCGTTAGCCCTAGAGATTTACATTATTAGCCTGGCGTTAATGCCATCTCAGGGGCGTTAATACTGCTAATAACGTGGGATCTAGGCTATTAGCCCCAGAGATTTGTATTATTGGCCTGGCATTGATGCCATCTTGGGGGCGTTGACGCCGGCGATGATATGGGATCCAGGCTGTTAGCCCCAGAGATTCATATTATTAGCCTAGTGTTAATGTCATCTTAGGGGCGTTGACGCCAGTGACGACATGGGATCTAGGCCATTGGCCCTAGAGATTTATATTATTAGCCTGGCGTTAATGCCATCTTAGGGGCATTGACGCCAGCGACGACATGGGATCTGGGCCATTAACCTAGTATTAGTGTTATCTTAGGGATATAGGATTTAAACTATTGGCCTGATAACAGCCATTTAATTCTTCTTAATATAAGGATACTAATTATAATACTAAGTATTATTAATATTCTCTTAATCCTATTTATAGGGCCTTTTAGAGCTAGATATCTAAGAAGCCTTAAATATCTTATCTAGATAGCCTTATACTTACTTATACTATAGAAGCTACTATATCTCATCCTCCTCTACCTCTAATAATATCTTATTTATTATTTAAGGTTATATTTCCTTATAGAATTGCTTTTAATTAATTTACATAAAAAGCAGTATATCTATATTCTTATTCTTAAGATAATTCTATATCTTTATATATTATAAGCTTATAAGTAAAAAAGCTTATTCTGCAGCTATAGAGTTGGCAATAGTATTAAGGATTTATAATATATAATAGGAGATAAAAGGGGTATATTTAGCCTAAGAGAGAGAGAGAGAGAGATTAGTAAAGATTTTAATTTAAAGCTATTTAACTTACTACTTTAAGCTAAAAGAATTATAGGTTTTCCTTTATATCTTAATAAGAGGTATTATAAAAGATGCCATTCTATTATCTAAAGATAAGAAACTCTTATTATACTATAATCTTTTTATTATAAATAGACTCTAGCATCTTCTTAATTTAATTATAATTATAATTATAAAGGGGCTTAGATATTTATATAGAATATAAAAAATAAGCTACCTAATAAATATTAGTAAGTTAATACTATATTTATAATCTTTAGACTTAATTATTAAGATATATAAAGATCTCCTCTTTAAATAAGCTATAAGATATAGCTTCTCTTATCTTAAGCTCTAAAGATACTTATCTTTATATAACTTTTATAATACTAGAGTTTTAGGCTTCTAATTTCTTCTATACTATATAGAGAGGATAAAGAAGCTTAATTAGCTTATTTAACTATCTCTAAAATAAATAGGAAGAAATTAACTTAATAATCCTCTAAGAATATAAAGTCTTAATATCTATATTTAACACCTAATCCTTAAGTGCTTTATATAAATCTTTAAGAGATTTAAGAAGTATATATTAAATTCCCTAGTATATAATAACTAAAGTAATAAGAGCCCTCTAATTAGTATATTATTAAACCTAATAAGTTTATAGCTTTATATATTTAAATAGAGACTAATAAAAAAAGTTAATAATCTTATTTACAGCTTTAAAGACCTCCTTTACTAAAGGGACCTTAACACTATCTAGAAGATCCTTAATGATTAGCTATAGACCATATAAATCATAAGGGATTATAAAGATATATTAAAGCTCTAGTTTAGCTTAAAGCTTTCCCTAGACAGCCTTTATTATACTATAGGTATTTATTAATATAGAATTAATTTAATTTTAATTAATAGAGTCATCTTTAAAAGTAGAGATTTTCTATAGAAGAGCCTAAAGCTTCTTAATAATCTAAAGGGTTATTATATCTATATTTAGACTCTTATCCTCTATATCCTTAAGGTATAAAAATTATAAGTATATAGGAGTTGTCACTATTATTATAATAATATACTAAAATAAGATATTTAACGTCTCATCTATCATAATATTTAGATATTAAATTCCCTATAGCTTTTCTATTATCTTATTCTTTATTATTATGTATAATTCTAGTAGTAGATTAGTGATTTAACCATAAGTAGGCAGTTTATAGGAGAGATTTAAAGACTTAATAAATTACTAAAATTCTAGGGATTTAAAGAGATAAAAAGGCCTTACTCCTAGATAAATTATATTAGTAGTAAGGTGATTAAGCTATTTTTTAGGAGACTATATAAAGCTAAGCTTTTTCTAAACCTAATTCTCTATTCTATTAGGATAATCTAGGATATCTAGAGCTCCTTTACACTGCTCAATATAAGCCTAAAGATATATTATATTAAAGATATAGGAATTTTAATATCTAAGGCAGGTGGCCCTAGGGGTCTAAAATAATTCTTATATAAATAAAATAAAAAAGTGATAAAAAATATAAAAGGTTAACTTTAGTATATAAATTATTACCTTTAAGTTACCTAGCTGCTTTTAAATAACTTTTTTAAGGTTAAGGATATATCTAGAGTATTTAAAATCTAATTTTTATGCTATTTTAGTTACAATATATACCTAGAAAAACTAAACATTAAATTCAATTATATATTTTGGTGTTATTACTAGGTGATTTCTCAGGTTACTAGGAAAAATGGCAGAATCTAGGATTCTAGGTCTCTAATTAGTCTAAATTGCTCACCGCCGAATATGACTAAGCAGGAGTTAAACCCCCCTAAAATTTCACATAAAATATAATTTAGGCCTGAAATTTCAAATTTCCGAAATATAATCTCAATTTCAAAATTTCAACATCCCTATGTCCACTGTCCAGGCAACACCTGCAGAGAGCCTGCCACGCCACGGGGCTGACTCTAGAGGAACTAAAATCTCGCCAACAACAGTATCCACGCCTGAGCTTTCGTGGACGACAGGTAAAATGCCTCCATGGACAACATAGACTCAAAGCTGCGGAGGATTTCTCGTCCCCCTCTGACCGATGGTGGACGGTCGACCTATATCTGGATGGTTTGGATGTCCCTGATGCCGGGTTCCCATCGCTTCTGACTCTGGCTTGCAGATATTAGCCCCGACCTCCGGAATGCCCTCGTTGATGAATATGCCAATGAGAAGCCCCCAACGGACGGGGAGGTGTACCGGAAGATCCGTCAATACCAACACGAAAGCAATGCTCTCTTTCAGAATCGCTGGTGGTCCCGGCTGTCGCCGAACAAAGCCAAGCGGTTACGGCGGCTCACGTCCCCAGACAATACCTACCTCTGCGCCGCGTTTGATGCGTTGCTTGCGATCCCAGGGCTCTGGAATGGGATGAGCCTGGGATCCTTAAACACCGTGATGGCGCTGAAGTGTGACGAAGTTAGTCCGCCTCTCGGTCGCTGTCGCCAGATTTCTGACCTTGGTAGGAGGTGATTCATTACTTGAGGCACGTGAAGAATTTCTGGGCGACGCTGGTCAACCATGACCGTGCTCAAATGACCCGAATCGATCTACATACGGTGGACACACTACAACTGTATGCCCCTCGGGCGTCTACCGTTGATCGGAAGATCGTGAAAGGCAAAATCCTCAGCGGCGAAGTGTTTTCCAACTTCAGCCGCTCGGAACGGGTCGCGATCTGGGAGAGCCTACGGTCGCACGAGACGTGCGACGGCATCATCCCGTCCCTCCATACCTTTTTCCGCGATGTTTTGTACCTGGAAGTCTGTGCCAATGCCGTCAAACGGCTGGTTACATTGAACAAGCAGCACCCCACCATTCGGCGTGCACTGATGCACAGTTTTCGACCCGGTCCCGCTGACACGGATTGTCTGATCCAGACGTCTGAAACCACGTTCCGCCGACAGCCGGGGTCTAACGACGAACGACTGTCGTTAGCATACCGCCAGATCTGGCTGTATGCTATGCGACATTACCCGGACATGGCCAAGAATATCCAGGGTGGCCAGGCTGCCAACCCCGCCCGGGCAAAGGCGCGAGCGACGGCGGACGAGAGCGTGATTCATGATATGGCTACTCTTGCTCGGAAGCTGGGCTTTCAGACCACGCAGATTAGCGCAATCCTCCAGCAATCGCCGGACCGGCAGATCGCTCGGGCAGCGTTGCTCAAAGCTCAGAAGCCTGATCGCTACCACTACGACCGAGAAACCTTCGAGTCCCTGATCGAGCAGATTACGGGTTGTTTTGCTCGCGCTATTCCGAACGAAGACCCGCCGATGACGCTTACCGCTGGCCGGGCGATGAAATTGAAAGACCGATATGGAATTCCGCCTGAATATGCTCAGCCGCTGGACCGCCCGCATATCTTCCTAGACCAGCTACATTCAGCCCCGATGATGCAAAGGAGCCTGTCATCCTTAGAAGTGAGACAGAGCATATACTACGCCTTTTTCGGCAAGCCATCCTCCCCAACATATATGCCTTCTACTCCGCCAGCATGGTCATCGGCCAGCGAGCCGTCTTCGCCCCTGTTTGTTCCACGTGACCATACACCCGCAGACGGACCGTTCGCTGAGGATATGTCGATAAGCGGTCTGAGTGAAGGGTCATCAAGTAGTCGTCGGGGACTGTCGGAAACTCGCGAAGACCAACCGGAAGGGCGGCGGCAGGGTCAACGGTCTTCGCGGCCGCCGACAGCAATGCACCGTTCGTCTCAGGCCAGAGAGCTTTCGCCAGAGAGCTCCGCAGGAAGGGGATCTCCTCCCGCTGCGGGTGGGACTACCGACCATTGGGATAGCTCTGACGCGGAAGATCAGCCGGCCACTAGCGGAAGAAGAGAGGACAGAGTGGGGGAGGATGACTGCACAGAAATAGACGCAAACGAGATTTTGCACCGAGCGGAGGGTGAGGATTCTACGGCAAGCGATCTCTCTGCGGTTGAGACGTCGATTCCTGGAACACCAATCGAAAGAGATATGTCGGAAGGACTGGAAGAGAGCGCAGTCGGGGGCGACGCAAGGCCGAGTGGGCCAATGCGCAGGAACCGGAATAGAGACGGAATCTGGCAACCCTATGACACTGCACGGAGAGGCAATCGCCGTGCGGCCAGGACAGTCTCCCCAGAGGAAGACCGAGTTGCCATCGGAAACTCCACCGACCGGGTCCCAAGCGCAGAGCACTTGCTCAGTCCAGAACCGTTGCAACCAATCGGGGAATACGACAGACTGGAACAGCCGGCAGAAGGATCACATACCGTACGCGAGAATGGCACATCAACGGGTGCGCCCCAGCGCGACGCTGCTGGAAATGACGCGGGACACCTTGCCCAAACGGAGCAGCCAGAACCGCGAAGCCACGAAGGCGAAGAATCCGTCTCCTTCCGAGTACCACCGTCTGATGGTGCAGAAGGGATAAGCGGGGAGCAAGTGACAAACGGCAGAGAGTCAATCGCCGATCAGGTTGAAAAACTTGTCCAGGAAGAGCGACACTCGCAGGAGCAAGCAGATGCCCCAGCACGGCTAGAAGCATCTCAATCCCATGCTGTCGCCCGCCGTGTCACCGAAATTCCGGTAAATTTGCCCCGTCTCATCGCACAGTTGCGCCAAGGAAGCCAGCTTGATGCAGGTGTACCTCCCGCCGATGCAACAAGCGTTGCGCGCCCGGAAGACAAAGCCTCCCTCCGCCCCTTACCCCTTGAGCCCATCGCGCAGAACACGGAAGAGGGACGTACGAATCTACCCCGATATCCCCAACAGGGTCCGAGGACCGGTCTGCAGCCACGTCAACCAGAAGGAGCAGTCCATAAACTGAGGAAGAATCAGACCACACGTCGAGAGATCAATCGGGCAGGTACTCGAGATGCTGCCATCGCCGATGAGTTGTGGGGTAATGACGCAGACGGTGATGAGGCTGGAGGCATTATGGCAGGGGCTACTGGGTTTGCTCAACCAGATATTGAGCGGTTTCCCGCCGTTCTGCCCGATCCGGAGCAGGCCCAACGGGAGGCCATTGCAAGACAAGAAGGCGAGGATCTCCTCTTTGATACTCCGCATACGATACAAGAGGCAGACGACACGGAAATGAGAGATTCTGAAGAAGACCGCACTCCTGCGGTCGCTGCCGGGCCTAACCGGAAGGTCACGAAACCGTCTAAGATAGCCAAGTCAAAGCAGGCCCGGCCGGGAGGATCGTCTAAGGCGTCACGAGTCAATTTGTCCTCCCGGCGACGAGCGGTCAATTTCGATGCTCGAGTGCAGGGAGAAGCCACACAGCTCGATGCCACTCAGCGGGATATAACAAACCCCGTCAGCGCAGGTGTGAGGGATGTGGTGCACGACAAAGCCAATGATCCGGCTGCCCTCGCTGTGGGTAATATCAATAGTGATCCTGCTGGCGGTTCGTCACCAGGAGGGCGGGTGACCATCACCTTCCGCGCTTACCAGCAGAGCAAATGGATAGTGACAGACGCGGTCTCTGCGGATGCCGTTAATCCATTTGAGGCGCAGGCCATCGCCGACCGGTATGCACGAGACCCGGAGCAGGAGGCCCATTTCTATGATCGTTCACTACAGAAAGTTGCCGTGGACCAGTGTGTCCGCGCGGCGATCGACGACGGAAGTTTCACGGTCTTCATGGGTTTGGGAAGAGGCCTCGCAGTGACGCGGAACCTGGTGGCCTCGGTGACACAATTACTCGAGAACGTTGGAGCCGCCGGGTCAGTCATAGAGGAAGAGGAGTTGTAGTGCGTCCGGCATAGTCTAGGCGGTCCGGCCGACCATCGGGGTCGCAAGCATGTAGATAGATGACCGCTGGGGACTCACAGCTGGTGTGGTCGCCAGTTGGCGGTCCTGCGGTCGAGCTGGTCGTACGACCAGGGACTGATGGCTGGGTCAGTCGGAGGGACGCGGTCTGCCCTCTCTGAGCTGATGTCCCTAGACGGATGCATCTGACCTCAGGACACTAGCCGTCAGCACAAGGGCACACCGCCCCGGTCCTCTGCCGCCAGGCCTCCGACCTCGTAGGAGCTCAGACCATAGGCCTAGGCCCGCCGCAGACCCAAGCCCCCCGACCTAAACCCCACATAGACCTCCACCCCCAGAGATATCTCTACCGTGAGCTTCAGTCGCTAAAGGTCATGTGTCTTGGCCGGTCCCACGTCGACCATATCCTGGGTAATATCAATTCTAGGAGCAGACGAATCCTGTGATAGTCAGTCTTGGGATAGAAGTGATCATGGGACGGCCTATTTCAGGCAAGGAACATGCCCAGGATTGAGAGATTCCCAGGATGGCGAGTCATGGGATTCATTCGATTCCAGAGCAATCTCTCCTGTGCCTCAGCATCCCAGGCCAGTGCGGGTGGTCACTAATTAAGAGCGGAATTCCTGATGATCAAGACTAGTACGATTGAAGTAAGTATCGGCGCAATGTGGGTACACACTACAACAGGTCACCGCAGTGCACCGCAGCCACCCGTTTCTTAACCAGTCTACTCTGTAACTGTCGGACGTCATGTGAGCATCATGGTCTTGATGGGAAGGTTCTGTGCACTGTGGTGCGTATAGCTGGATGACTTGCCGTGGTGTGTTCCCAATGACACAGGTATCCACGTGGGTTTCCGCAGACCATAGGTACGAATATTGGAAGGAAAACGAAAGGTAAGGGTGTGATTTCCTTTATATGCTCTACCCAAACAACGGAACCCGTGACCGAACATGGGTCAGACCTTGCGAAGAGACGAGTGGCTGCGGTACAGTGGAGCCCATATCCACATTCTGCAGATACTTGTCCAAGGTATATCAAGGTTGACTATAGATCTTCCCGCAACTGGAAAGTCTTGATTCCGATATAAAAAGCATCCACACTAACCCAGGGACGATCCAACTCGTATCCACACGCCAGATGCCCACGAAACGTCCAGTCGGTGTACCTTCGACGAAGCGCTGATTACATCCACATCAGGGTTTGGAGGTCAACCCAAGCTATCTCAAGAATCCCGAAAACTTCGTTGATTCTGGTCGTGAAAAGAAGGACGTCGAGAATGAGAGAATCTATTCGTCAACGTCTACTCCAGGTTGCGGGATATAAAACGTTCCAACTTGGCCAAACACCCGTCGTCTTTGGCAAGGTATGAGCAAGACGGAACATCCTCAGCATGCTAGTAAAGGGCGGAGAGTTTTGAGAATTCTGTCACACAGTGTGGGCAGGTATAAAGCCAGCCTCCATCCTCAAGCTCATCATTGATATACTTCCTACTTTGGTAACATTCGCGGGCCAAGTCGTCGAGATTATCCTCAGTAATATTCAATGAGCAGCCCCCAGACTCGAGATGGAGCAGAACTCCGGAGAAGGATTTGAAGGTCTTATAGCAACCACAGCATTCCATCGTTCGAGGCTGATGTTTCTGCTAATGCTGGAAAGTCAGGTCAGCATCAAATGCATAATGTTGATCGGGAACCTTATACCATTTCGAAGTTGTTCTTGTTCACAAAATACCTCTCACACTTAATAAACAAGTTGTGCATATCGATATCATGCTCTCTAAGTTCCTCAGCGGACTAATGGTAAAGGTTGCAGTCTAAGCAGAAGTGATGATATTCAGTCAAGTGGGTTTCAAGCTCGTCAAGGGTCTCGAAATCTCATGATGACGGACATCGTACGCAAAAGTTATGTCTGCTAGATGCTTTAAGATGCGCGTCTTTCGATGCCGTTGAAATAAAGACTCGACAGCACCTCTCACACCACTCGTGTCGGGATGTGTTCCTGCAGTGTGCGTAGAGTGAGCCTTTAGAAGCAAAAAGCCTCTCACAGAGAGTACATTCATAGTCTATCCCATCAAAGGTAAGATATGGGCCAAGTTCCATCCTTTGGATAAATAGTAAAGTGGTTAAACGGAGCTGGGTGAGAAGAAAAAGCAGGATCCCCCGACTGTCTGATTACCCTAGTGATGCCAGCCTTTTGACTCAGGTGCCAACCTCAGTTCATTGGCCTGTCGAGCACACCCGCTGCGGAGGCGATGCCGCAGGCGCTTCGACATGAGCCAATGAAGGCTACCTTAATGATCAGCTGACGACTGCACCCGGGAGACTGTATCATAATCCATGTGGCCAACGAAGTCCAATGCGGTCCCTTGTCCGATCAATAGTAAGGTTACAAGTTTCATCCCTCGTAAGTATACTAAGGCTGATTTCTTCTTGCTGCCGGTGATAGAAAACTTGACCTCACCATCTAACGCCTGCTTCTTCTGCAATGTGCCTTGAACGACAGCAAGTTAAATAGCTTGGTCAACTTCACTTCTCCAGAGTTTGCTGGAGTGACCACCATGCTTTCGCAGTGGTAGCGTGCTGACACCAATACTATTGCCTATCGATAGTCACTAAGTGAGCGGCTAGCCTTGGATCTCACAACCTCAATCGAATCCGCCCATTCCGCCCAACTCCAAGGCGGTCAGCTTACTCTATCATAAAATGAAGGGTCGCAGATAGGAGTAAGTTTGCCCCTCCATGGTAAGGCTGTCATATATAAATACAGCGGCAGAGTCTTGAGTACAGCAACATGCCTACATCACTTCTACCCAGACATATACCTTCAAGTTCATTCCATACCCTCACTGCCAATCCCGTTTATATGGAAATGGAGTGTCCTGTGCCTTTATCCCGCCCAGAGCCTGCAGTTCTACCTTCTCGAGCATCCTCAAGCGGCTTCCAATCTAGTCACCAAAGCCCCAGGTCAAATACCTCACATCGACCAGCCCGGCGATATAGGCCTGATCCACACTTATCAATTCTACCGGTGTCTCTTCCTCAAAGCAGTGAAAGCAAAACGACCGTACGAAGCCCTGGACAACAATTCGTGGAGTACTTTACCGAGAGACGGAAAGATACAGAATGTCGATCGTGTATTTTCATTTGTTGGACTCAGGGCAACTTGGCGAAAGTTGTGGATATCCCTTTCACTTCAGACGAGCTGAACGACGAAAAGAAAGTCTTTCAGCGGTTGAGAGAGAACTTTTTCCAGAGAAGGGGCTACATGCGGACCTTTTTCTATTCCGCATACCCAGAGCAAGCAAAGGCAAGTTTGCAGAATATCACTTTATATTCTTTCTAACTGCGTGGATAGATACATCCTCTCGGCTACCCAGATATGGTGCAAAGGTGCTTTTTTTCAACAGTGCGCAGATTTGAAGCCTATGAAGAGCGATCAAAAACTCTGGGAGATCTAGAGTTATTAAGAAATGCTCTCCCTGGTGATGATTACCCTTGCTACCCATCAGACGGATCCGAGTCGAGATACTTCATCCACCTGAATGATTGTCTCGCTCATGTAGGCGAAACATGCGGTTACGAGGACATTGATCACCTAGAGGGACACCTTCTCGATGTTGAAAATATTCCACCGATTTTAGAGAAAACATTTATGAATCCTGAACTAGCCGTTGGTCAGAATTTACTGAAGCGGGACATATTTTCTCTGGAGAACTCTTCTAGCTACATCAATACCTACAAGTAAGTAACCATCTGTGGTATTTCTTAGCTTAAACTCACGAATTATAAGGTTTCTACGACCGGAAGGTCGCTACCGCGGGTTTGCATACCTTGAGCTGAACGCAATATTCATTAGAGAAGAAAAGAGACTCTTCAGGCTTACATTGTTCATTGTTATCACCACCGCTTTAATAGTCTACACAGGTAACAGAGCATTCCATAGCTGGGAAGCTGGTGTTGGTCTTGGGGCACTATATACTTCTTTGATAACCTTGTGGGTCATGCTGGATGAATGACATCTGTTGTGGTTGAAATGCCACATTCTGTCCTCTCCCCCGTCTCTTTATATGAGTGCTGCGTGCTGAAAGAGGACCTGTCCTCACCATACTTTTTAACTTTACACAGACCACGAGGTACCCTGAATTTAGGAAAGTTCTTCGTCACAAAATAGTTATCTCTGAACGCCGTACATAGCCGGGTCGAATACGTTCTGCAGGTCAATCATAAAAGACGACCCATAGCTCCTCCGACGAAACAAAGTCGAATCGCAGGCGTTTCACAGGGGATGCCGGCTCTTCCTGTAGATGATCCGATAATCCAAGTTCCAGTCATCTAGAGTCACGTGTAATTGACGGATAAATACTTTCACCGAGATGCCACCCAGCTGACAGTGACGACAGGGAGGAGTCTCACCCCATCGTCGCGTCGGGGTTGCCCGTCTTCCCTTCCCCTTCTCCTTATTCACGGTGATTATGAGTGGAAGCAGCTCCCCGGACTACAAGGCGCTTTTCCTCAAGGAAGCTTCGCTGAGACGGCAGGCGGAGGAAGAACGGAAGCAGGCGGAGGAACGGGAGAGGCAGGCTGAGGAACGAGAGAGGCAGGCAGAGGAACAGGCAAGGCAAGAGAGGGAACACAACTGACCGACGACTTTCTCAGAGTTCATCCGACATTGCCACAATCTCCTTTGGAGGCCACTCCGGGCCCAAACACCGTCTTACTCCACGACAGGCAAAATCCCTGCTCCTCTCAGAAAATACTGTCCCCTACAACTGCGTCTATGGATAGAGTATGCTGCCATATAATATGAAATCTACGCGTCCGTTTGCCGCTACCTATAACCTACTGAAGGGGATGCCCCACGGCGATTTGTGTCCATGGTTAAATTAGAGGGGCTTAGTCAGCATTTCGCGCTTCGCCCGATCAGCAGTGAACAAGATCTCAAAAGTTATAAGCGATTTGCTGTTGAGGATCATGTGCGTGATATAATCTTGGAGCTCTATAAGATACCTGCGGCTCGCGAAGAATTTAGGCTTAGTGACGGTGTGTGGTTTAATAACCATGCTAATGTGTTGGATAAGGCTAAACGGTCGGGATCGGACACCTGGCTGTCTAGACCTGACCAATTCTGCATCTATCGCGTCGATGGTCAAATAAATACCTTACTAACAACCGTCGAATATAAACCCCCGCATAAACTTTTGGTACAGACCATACGCGAAGGGTTTCGACCAATGGAGTTTTGGCAGGAAATTGTCAAACCAGACACTATACTAGCAGATGGGCCTGAAAGGCAGAGGTACAATGCTGTACGGCTAGCTGGGTCTATGGCCGTCCAACAATTCCATGGAATGATAGAGTATGGTGTCGGATGCTCTTTTATTATAAATGGCCTTATGGATGTGCAACTGTGGGTGCCTAACGATGACCTAACCACGTTATACTACAATATAGGCGAGGAGCCGTGGACTAGAGTTGAGAGAGCTTTGTGTGCTTGTTTAATAAGTTTTTGAACACCTCTTCGTGATTAGGCCTGGCGTAATGCCGCTCAAAGCAAGTTGCCGAAATGGCATTTAGTCCTTGATAGCGACCGTTCCCAGCTCCTAGTGGTGGACTTAACATAGAACATGAGCGTGGACGATACTAGCTCTAAATTCGCCAGTCCCGAGTAGACGACCTCTAATTACCTCCCATCATCATCTCTTATCACCAGCGGCCCTTAAGTAACCACACGAGCGGCCGCTAGCTGCGCGCCACCATCTGATCCATCCCACCAGGAGAGTTCTTTAGACTCTGAGGCCGACCCTACTGCATCTGCAGGACGGAAGCGGGGGTTTAGCCAGGTCACATCATCCCCTCCCACCTAACAGTCAGCATCGCGAGCAGTTCGCCAAGGGAACTAAAGCGGCCAATCTCACTCCCATGATGCCCCTTATTGCACACAAAAGTGCCTTCTCAGGCTACAGCAAGGCGGCGTGCTTGACCCGGAGTGCCCCAACACGAAGCTGCATATGCTCAGTAGAAGGGCCGACCACCATCCAATTAGCGCCACTAACTTAGTGAAAATGCTCAAGCTGCAGCTAGATTGGGATCTGGATCATAACTGCACTCCCATCGGCCCTTGTGGGTCCTCTGGGGCACCATTTAAGATTACGTGTGCCACCTTCAGATATACGGTGGTCGGGAAGGGGACGACGGCAAGACTTTAGGGGGAGGTTTCGTGCAAAGCCGACGTCTACCGGGTCCTCTAGCGTGCCTAAGGATCCGCTGTTCCCGTCTTTCTCAGAGCAATTAATCTGGCTCTAACCTACTTCCTCTACGGCGCGGGAAGGATCCGTCATATGCTTCTTATAGGCTGGGGTGGTGAGACCGTGGGCGATCCTCCTTTAGATAAGATCATCCAGCATGCGATTTCTCGGTCGGTGAAGGAAATCCGTCGTTTTAGGGTTGTCCATCAAGATCTTCGTCCGGACAATATCTTATGGAATGCTGAGCTCGGGCGAGTGCTGATCATTAATTTCTAGCTGTGCACCTTGGACCGTCAATTGCTGCACAAACACCCAGGCGCTCTCAAACGATTACAGTGTGGTCCTGAAGAACGTCACTCCAAGCGGGTGCGTGTGGTATGAGTAAAGGCTACTTGAGCTGGGATTAAAAACAGTCGGCCCGCTCTACGCATAGCCTATTATATAGAAGCTGGCTCACGGTGGTGATATCAGCCTTATGTTCCACTTTTTGTCGTTTGTATTTAGCGAGCATTTCCAGCAGATTTACAATTCAGCGTATATTCTCAATTTATTTTGTGCTCCCTAGTCGCCACCTCTTGTGATCGTGTGATTGCAGTGGTCGTACAACGTCCTGTATACCCCAATGTCAGTCCTGTCTTTAGGGGCTGCGCTGAAGGCGCTAGTCGCTTCAGCGGCTTCAGCGGCTATCATGTGCGCGCCTTTTCGAGCGATATCTTCTACCACCCTAAGTTTGGTGCTGCATGTTACTGAATCCACAGTGCGTGCGGCGTTCTGGATTTGACTTAGGTGCCATGTGCTATTTATGAGATAGACCTGAGAACTAACTAATATCCAATATGGTGGCATTAATATATAGTAAGATCGGCACTATGTATATAAGAAATATAGAAGCGAAAATGCATCGTTGTGCGACAATATGATGGTAAATCCTCCTAAACCATCACTTAAGTTATAGTCTTTTTGATCTTTGAGGCGGGGGTCTCGCGACAGCAGCGTCTTGGTGTTCCAAGAGGCGCGGATTGATGTTCGCCGTCTCGGAGTTGAGAGAAGAAGGGAGTGTATTGCTGCACGACACGCTATCTGGCTCTAAAACTTTTGTGCTGCTAATAGATAAAGTATTGCTGCAGCTAGGCGCTGGTCTCTTGGGAAGATATTGGAGGTTAATATGGACGTCGTATGCGTGAACGCTCACTGCATGGGCCAAGAATCCAGTGATTTCTTTAAACTTGGGAACATCGCGGCAAGATGACCAGTTGCAACTGATTCCATCGCGCATAAGGGCAAAATGAGATTCAATCAAATGACGGCGTAGAGAGTCCAGTCGCTTTGAAGGGAACTGATGCGGAGCAGGATGGGAGGTGAACCACAAAAGACCCTATAACAGAGAACGCAAACGTTCGTCAGACACACCAGCAATTGCAAGGAGCCTGTTGGGAGCACTCGACGCAGCGAGAGCCAGACTGAGCGAAATGAAAGCTAGATGGCGGCCGCCACTTCCCTTCATGTTCTCGCAGGTGAATAGTCTCACTGCGAAGTCTCCTGTGGGACTCCTGCATTCCTTTTCATCTCCGACCCTTCCTTCGCCCGTCCCTAGCACCACCATGCATTGATATGCGGCTCGTTGCTGACAACCGCCAATAACCGACTTAGCGAGATAGCCGCCGGCTTGGTAGGGAAATAATCACTCCTCACGGGCTCCCTGGGCTCGGCCGGCCCTCCCTCACAGTAGTAGCAGTCAACTTGAGGTCTCCCGTCTTTATGCCCTAGCTGATGCTCGATACTATGAAAACTGATTTCACCGGTCCATTTCTCGTGGTCCGCCTTGAACCTCTCGTAACACTGTATATCAAACGTGCGTCCGCCACGTTCGAACCAGTCTGTTATAGCCTGGGTGGAGGATTCGATGGAGATAGAGCAACCTAGAGGCGCAGAAACCCAGCCGTCTGGTTTTAGATGCCCGTTTACGACGAGCTCAGCAAGATTGGGGATGAGGCGCTCCATACAGGTAATGTGGTAGTACTGGATGAGTTCTGAGGCCGAATCGTCAGTCAGCCAGTCAGCCATACAGTTGGTTGAGAATGGGAACCGTGATCGGGGATAGGGAATAAGGAAAGGCGAATACACAATACCCCCTCCATAATACATATTCTGGCTACCCTTCAGCGCAAAGCGATAATGGGAACGGATAATCGGTGAGCGAGTGATTCTCGTAACCGCGCAATCCCACGCTCTGCAGTGGCTGGCTTTGACCCGCGGCACTTCTTGCAGGTAGAGTATTCGCTCTCCGGATGGCAGATCCTTCAATATGTAGCCTGCCTCTTCTCTCCTCCGTCTCGCTTGCCTCTTTCTCTCCCGTCGTCTTTCCCTGTCCGCGTCTGCGTCCGCGACCGCGGAGTTGGCTGGTGTCGCCTCTGGCCGTGCCTCGGGGTTTGAAGTTTCGTCGCGGCCCCCGCTTGTGGCGGTGCCTGTTGGCTCTGTGCTTGGAGGCATGGTCGGAACAAGGTTGAAACGATGAAGAAAATGAATCAGATTCCCGATATAAGATTACTGATGCGTGCGCCGGTATCACTTTGGAGCAGAGCGGTGAAGAGAGAGTCTGGGTGGAAGAGAGCACGGCACAGATATAAAAGGATGGCCTTGCGCCAGGAGCTTTCCGACCGTCCAGGTTGCAACAAAACAGGCTTCATTAGTCACGAGTCCGTATGGCTGAGAATGTAGTTGGTCGCTGCGAGCGCTGAAGGACTAGCGTTGTCAGCACGACTCTTGGTGCGTCTGATTGGTTTACAGTGGATCCTCCCGCTTCAGCGCCTCGACACCTTGGCCTCTTGTGCTGCCAAGGAGCCAACTGTCGGTTCATGAGACACCGTGTCCCAGAAATGGCGAAGAAATGATATCTTGGGCGAAATTACGTCGCAAAGATATTGATTGGATTACCGCTCATATCTGGCGATACTCTCTTCCCAGCAGAACACCTTGATACAATCCGGCGAGACGCCAGAAATCTCTAACCAAGGACGTGAGATCGGGAAGCAGGCCTAAATCTGGACTAGCGAATAGTTAATGGGGATTCCATTTCTACGGTCACACTTGGACGAACCAGCTAACGTCTCCATGGCTGATCTAATGTAAATATGCTCCTGGACCGGAGTCTTGTCCCTAATATACTCGAAGATCATGAGGGTAGTCCCCAAGATATCTGACATTCAAGCGATGCTTGTCGACGGTGTGCCTTCGCCAAAGCATCTCGTTGTCCACCGACTCGTTGCAGTAGTTACAGTGACGATCGTCGAGGTGCACGGCTCGGAAGTGTCGCAACAGACCTTTATGGCGGGAGTACTGCATAAGACGCCGATGGTCACGTCCCGCGGGGTTTCCGTAGCATTGAAAGCAGGCTCGGGGCTTCACGGCAGTTCGGATGTCTTCGCCAGCCTCCTGCAAGGCAATTTCATGCCGTGAGGGCGACGGGGCAAGAAGAGGGTGTTGGGCGGGCGCCATCATTTCTCCGGGGGGGCTATGCATCAGAGTTTCTTGAACCGGCACAGTCCGCTTGGGCCGTCGACCGCGGCGCGGGCCACCTTCCAGGACATCACAATAGAGTCGAACGGCTTCGGTAGCCTCATTTCGTCGCTGCCACTCAATTTCCACCGACGAGGAGGTGGGCCACGTCATGAGTTTCCCCAGCAGGTGAATCTGCTGTGGAAGGAGTTGCTCTTCCGTTTGGAGCTGCTTCTTAGTCTCTTCGTCGAGAATTGCAGTGCCCGCCAGCTGCCGCTCGATATCAAGGACTGCCTGCTCCTCATCAAATTCCTCTCGCACCCGTTGGCGGAGCGCATACAGGAGTCGATTCCGCGTATTTGTGACTTCCCGTTTCAGTTTGTCAAGCTTATCAAGCTTCCGGCCAGACTTTTTCCGACTGCGCTGGAGTTTTTTGGAGAACGCATCCCGCTTCCGAATAGCTGCCTGCAGCTCGGGGTCGTGCTCCACCGTGGCCTTCTGCGCATCCGTGAGCTCTCGGGGCCGACGTCGGTCAATCCATCGTCCCATGCGAGTGACCGCCCTTATCATGGCCGAATCAGGCTGGAGGCCCCTCATCAACGCCTGCATATCCGTGCCGATGCGCCGAGGAAGGTAATGGTTCAGGAACGTTCGGATATCCGCGTGCTTCATGATCAAGTTCTGTTTGGCGTCGCTAACAAGACCTAGCAATCGCACCCGTTCTGAATCAGTAACGTATGACGGAAGGACGGACAAGACGGCAGATGCCACCACGTACCGCTTTCATTTAAAATAGTTCCCCCACCGTACCGGAACCGATGCGTGAACAACGACCACGGAAAGCCGGCGATCTCGCCAAAGACCTTGAGCTGTCGGGAGAGGGTGCTTTGAGAGATAGGCTGATCGCGATGGACCTGAATCTTGCCGCGGACGCTCGTGACCTTGCAGAAGACATAGTGGTGAGCCTTGTCCCGTTTTAATGGGACCTCCATCTGCTGACGGCCATCTTCCACCCACAGGCGTCGGAGGTCCTCCATGGACTTGATTCCCGGAGCCCGAAATGCATCATCATGAAAGAGAATTCCGAGAAGGAACGTATGAGGGCTCAGCATCAACGACGGATCATAGATAATCTCGGGGAGGGGGAAGGTGTTTCTGATGGGCCAGTCAGCAACGGGATCTCTAATGGCAAGCGGTGCGGAAAGAAGCAGGAAGCTGCATACGCTTGCGTCACACCCATGTATTTCTTGGCAAATTTATACTTGATCTCCAGAAGGATTCGGGGCGGTCCCCCATGGGGATCCCGTTGGATGGAACACTGCAGATGCTGGTACTGAAGACGACGCATCGCATTGATCCGATTCACCGTAAAGCACGCCATCAAAGGGTAGAGACATTGCTGCATGCGCTGAAGTCCAAGATAGAACCGTTTCTCCATGGTGCGCAGGGTTGTCTCCTGCAGGGGCACCACATCTTCAATAAACATCGGGGTCTTTTCTTTTTCATCCGTATCCAGATCATGCTCCCTTGCAATCCTGCGAATACTCTGGGCCGAAACCGGTTAGCAACTCGTCCAGAAGAGGGCCTGGGGTCGATCCCAACCTTTCTCATTCGCCTTCCGAGCTCATTGTCCATTGGCTCCCCGGTAATCTTTTCATAATGACGGAGGAATGACTTCCAATCCGTATCCAAAGACTTAAATTTCTTGATCCCCCTTAGCTTCCGGCCATTCTTCCCCCGCCGCAACCGCAGGCACCAACGGAGGAACAGCGTCAACTCCTTTTTCCTTGCATTGCGAAGAGCCGAAGCAGGGTCTGCCCACACAGAGTCTGGGAGCGCCCTGTATTTCTTATTCCTCTTTCGGCAATACCTGATCGTTTATTAGCCCGTTCCGAGAGCCTCGCTGCGACTGGAGGGGTTTTCGGCCCACCGTGCCCATCTCTCGTCCATCCGCGTAATGTTCCTTCTGGTGCCGTCTGCGTAACCATCATCGTCACTGTCTGATGATACCTCGTCATCCGAGTCAATGTCAGGGTCCGTGTCAGAGTGGCTATCGGAGCTACTGTCGCGGCAGTCATCGTCACTGGAGCTGGTGTCCGCATCGTCGGTCCGTCTTGAGGGGCCTGGCAGAGCAGCAGGTGCTCGAGATTTCTCTTGCGAACATCGTCGCCCAGGACGTTGAGAACAGCGAGCGTCGACATTCACGTCCTCGTCGCTAGAGCTGCAGTCTGAGTCCGTCTCTGGGCGGCTTAGAGAAGGAGATCCTTTCTCACTCTTGTGAGCCTTTCTCCCTGAAGACCTCGGCCTAGAGCGCTTCTGACGGGGTCGACCTTTGCCTTTACGGCGAGTGGGGGGAGGCACATCGGAGTCTGTGACATCTGTGACGTCCGTCTGCAAATCCGCACTGACGGCGTCATCCGAGTCCAGGCGGAACGACGCACTGCTAGCGGTTTCGTCGTCGTCCTCGCTGCTACGGCCAGCGTAGGCACGGGGACGGCGAGCCATGAGTCAGGGAAGAGGAACCGACGGACGGTCTGGCAAAAGGAGGAAACGAGCGAAAGTAGAACCAGGACGAGGTGCCTGTCAACGATGAGGAAACAGGATAGGAAGAAGGAGGCATGGCTGAGGGCCGAGACGAAGGGGAAGAAGCTCGTCATTTATGGAAAAGGCCACTGTAGGGAGTGTGCTTCACTCTGGGAGGGGGGAGCCATTTCGGCTCCCTTCAGCGTCTGGCCTCGAAAGGCGACGAAGAGTGTCGCTGCGGCTTCGCTCAGCAAACTGCTTCAGCGGTCCCTGTAGTAGCGCGGTTCTAGTCACGGGCCAGGAACCTGGTGCGTGGCCAAATTGGAGTGGTTATGCGCACGGCGGCTGAGTCAGCGGGTGGGCTGGGGCGGCCGTTTTTGGCGTCATTTGGGGCCAAAAGAGGCACCATCTGCCCAAATCGAAATCCTTTAATAGTAGACAGATAGATTAAGAAAATTATATAATAATAATAAAAGAATAGCTAAAAATAAGTAAGACTATAGAAATTAAAATTCACCCTCTAGATATTAGCCCTTATAATTAATAAGAAGATGCTTTAACTTTACTATAGCCTACTTATAATAAAGAGGAGCACCCTATTCTAGGCCTATATTAATAAGATTAGCCTTAATAAATATCTTAATAAAATATATTAGACTAATATAGACTAATATCTAGTATACTAAATAGACCTAGAGACTATTTATTATATTATTATAATATACCTAGAGCATAACTAGGCCTAAGAGTAGATCTAAGGTATAGACTAGTAGGCCCTACCCTAGAATCTAGTAGAGATACTTAATAATATAAAGTACTTAAATAAGATAACTAGATTCTTAATAAGAATTAAATACTTAACTTATCTATAACTATTACTACTATCTACACCCCTAGATATAGATTTAGACTAGGAACACCTAGTCTTAATACTAGAAGAAATACTAAACTACCTACTTATTAATAATAAATAAGAAAGAGATAGTAATTATATAAATTACTACTCTTTTTAACTTATTATCTTAACTCTCTTATATATAAACTATTACTAATAGAGCTATAAAAACTATTTATACTTATATATATACTTTAAGAGCCTATACCCTACCTCTAATTCTTACTCTTCTTACCCCTAAATAAGGTGCTCTAGAGAGGAGCTATAGTACTCTTAGCCTTAAATAAGACTTAAAAGACTATTATATATATTATTATATAAACTACCCTAGACCCTCTAAACTAAGATATTATTCTAAATAATTTATACTATTATATTTACTATCTATATTAAGGACCTGCCTAGTGGCTATTATTATTATTTAATATAAGTGCTCTACTACTATATAAAATAAAGATAAGTCTATATTATTAATAATTTAATAATATTAGTACTTATCTGCGCCTTAAATAATAATAACACCCCTAATTAATAAGGTCTCTAGGGACCTAAGGATATAAATCTATTAAAATAATACCCTTAAGCCCTTAATATATTTATAAGTAGATACTTTAGAAATATAGCTAAGGCTATTAATAATGCCTAATATAAATACTCTACTATTATATAATATAGAGATAAGCTTATATTATTAGTGATTTAATAATATAAGTACTTATTTAGGCCTAGGTGGCGTAGACAGCCTAGCTAAGCATACTAGAGGTACTTTTAAGAATCTATAATTAAGGAGGCCTAGGGGCCTAAGGGACACTAATCCCTAAGATTAATACCTACCTATAGCCCTTAGGATCTTACTTATATTATGGCCCTAGGGGTGCTAGGGGGCGTTGATCCCTAAGGATAAACACCTATTTCTAATTCTCTTATATACTTACTAATATTGACTAGGCTATATTTATATAAATAAATACTCCTAGGTCTAAAGTCTAATAAGAGGGAATAGGTTTTTAGGCTAAATTAGGCTAAATTAGGCTAGATTAGGCTAGATTAGGCCAGATTAAGCACCTAGGTAGGCTAAAGTGGGCTAGAGTAGGCATTAAATAACTACTTAGACTTACCTATTTTTTATATAGCTATAATAGCCTTACTAAATGACATAATAAATAATATAGCCATACTAGTTAATATAATAAATAATACTATAAATAGTATCTAGGTAATAGGATGATGCACAGGATTAATAGTTAGTATAATACTAATATAAAATATAACTATTAATAGAGCTATTTAAAGAGAGACTGGAATATTTATTAGCTATAGATATAAGAAACTAGAGGATTAATAAAGAAATAATAAAGAATATTAAATCTAGGTAATTAATAAAGAGGAGGATCTAGAATAGTAGCCTTAATATTAATAAAATAGAGTAAAGTAGGCTAACTAGTAATAGCCCTAATATTAGGTATTTAATAATAAAGCTTATTAATAGTAGGCGACTAGAGATAGGAGTTTATTAATATATTTAGGTATAGGCTTATTATTAGCAGTGACCTTGCACTACTAGGGTTAAATAGGTGAGATATTAGTATAACTAGGTAATAGCAAGGTCTAGGGATATAAGAAGTCTATAGTAAGTCTAGTAAGAGAATAAGATAAAGTACTTAAGATTCTATTCTATCTAGAGGGGATAATATATATCCTAATTTTAAGTAGAGTACTTAATAGGTGCCTAATTAATGCCTAATATTAATTAATAGTTATATAGTATACTTAGTTAGATAGCTTATAGAGTAGTATTAGTACTAGCCTTATAATTATTCTCTCCCTTAGAGAGGCTCAGCCCTAAGCTGTTATAAAAGTAAATAAAAAATAACTATTTTTATAAGTAGACTCTAATTAGATACTATATAGATATAGTATTAAATATAAGAGTTTATTAATAAAGAAATAAAGAGTATAAGTAAGAGTTAAATATATTAAGGGGAGGGTATTTTTAAGGGTTAAGTAAATAAGATATAATCTATATTTATTAAGTATTAAGATATAAATATTATTATCTTATATAATTTAATTCTTATTCTTTAGCTTCTTAATAAGGTCCCTTAGTATATATAGCTCCTTTTCCTTAATAATAGTGTGATATTTGAAAGCTAATTCCTCTAGAAAATCTCTATTCTATTACTACTATAGGTTAGAGGGAAGGTATCTATATACCTCCCCTTAGCTTATTAAAAGCTGAGCAACCTAGTGGCAATAAAACTCTATAAAATTAATTAATCCCTAGTATAAAGTGAAAACTCTATATAACCGCTCCACTAGGGTTAGGAGATCTTATATTATTAATGAGTAGACACCTTAGTATTCTACTAAGATAATCTTATTTATAGCTATATAAGAGTTTATAATATTATTTACTTATAATATTATATCTTCTCTTACTTAACTAGAACTTTATCTATAAAGTCCTAATCCTCTCTCTAGGGCCTTATTAAGATAAATTAGTTATTAATAAATAACTTATAGATTCTATCTAATAAGGGCCTATAATTAGTAAATAAAGACTTATTCTTTAATTACTTTATTAATTACTTACTAACTAATAGGGGGTTGCCTAGTCCTGGGCAAGAGTATAGAGTATACTTATAATTACTATTATTAAGTAACCTTATAACCTCTTTATTTATAATAAAGGATATATTCTTTTATTTATTTATTAGTAATTTCTTCTTTACTTCTCCTCTTACTATTATTACTCCTTATAACTATCTTATATTAATAGCTTTTAATAATAAATTTAAGGACTCTAAGTCCTCTATCTAGTATTCTTATTATAGGTCTAATTATTTTTATTAATTATTAAAGATTAAGCATCTAGTGCCTCTTAGGACTTTTTTATCACTTATTAAGAAGTCTCTCCTTTAGCCTCTATTAGGCTCTTATTATTTAAAGTAGGTTACTAGTTATAGTGATCTAGCACCTATTACTTACTATAAGTTTATTAATCTAAAGAGTAAAATATAGCTAATAATAATAAAAACTAAACTTCTCTTAAAGGTATATATAACCTTCTTTAATAATTATAAGCTTATTTATTTATTCCTTACTATTTATATATATTAGGACTTCTTCTAGGGTAGCTAGATATTAGTCTTAAGTTATATATTAAAGCTCTTTATTATTATTATTTTTAAATAAAGACTTATAGTGACTAACCCTTATTTAAAATATATCTATAATAATAGTCCCTAGACTATCTATATCACGCCTCTTATTAAGAAGCTTAATAGAGATAAGTATTAGGTTTACTATATTAAGATATATATAAACTATCTCTTCTATAATAAGAGTATTAATTATAACTTATATTTATTTCTCCTAGATCTTTTTATTACTAGTTACTAATATATTATAGGTGTTAACTATAATAATAATAAAAAATAAGAGAAGAAGAATAAGTATAAGAAGTAGTAAAAGAAAAAGAAGATTAAGAAGAAGAGGACTCTATTATCTACTACTTCTATTACTTTTATTACTCTTATTATTTCTACTACTAATCTAATATTAGCTACTATACTTTCTACTATTCTTTTAGTCTTATTAAACTTATTATTTACTATTAGTGCTAGTACTACTTTAATTAACTTATAATTAAGTACTCTTATTATTCTAGCTATAAAGAGGGCTTAGTTAATTCCTTATTAAACTATCCTAGATTCTACTCCCTTAAAGGTGTTACTCTAGTATTTAATTATTTCCTATAAGGATATAGCATGTTATTTTAGGGAGTTCCTAGTTTATTATTTTAACTTTATAGGTTAGAAGGTTAGGGAGGCTATAAATACTTATTAAGAGAGTTTAATTAATAGTTTCTTCTAATTTATTAATTATAATAATACCTCCCTTATTATTCTATTTCTCTTATTAAATATTAATATTAATAATTTACCAAAGATTTATTAGGCTATTATTAATATATATTAATAAGTGGCCACCCTTAAGGCTTATAAGGGCATATTAATTACTGCTACTGCCACTATAAAGGAAGAGGAGGAGAAGAATCTATAAAGAGAGTATCTTTTATATATAA